TTATTTAAGAGAAACTCAGACTGTTTCAAAGCAGTGCTCAATGGTCACATGACCCATTCAGTGATGCATCCGATCCCCTCCAGTTACATAGCTCAGTTTTTGTGAAGAGCAGCCTGCATGGAGCATTGATACCTGCCAAGTGGCGAATACTGACCTGAAAGGTCTTTTAAAGTGTGAGAGAATGATCCATCCCATAACATACCATCTTTATTTATGAAGTACTTTATAGTAAAAAGGTCTGCAAAGTGGTGTACTGAAAGTAACAGTAAAATTAAGATCTAGACAAGCTAAGATAGACAAAGAGGATAGATAAAAAACTTAAAATAGTTGAAAAAATTTGAATAAAAAAAAGTCAACTTCTCAGGATGTGCAAAATGCTTCTGCAAACGTGTGTTTTAAGAAGAGTCTCAAACTCTGAAAGAGACGAAGCCTGCCTGATATCCAAGGGCCAATTATTCCACAGCTGTGGAGCCGTTACAGGGAATGCACAATCACCTCTGTTTCGATTTAGGGACAATGAGGAGCTGGTCAGCACAAAAGTAGGGTGCCAAATCATAAGACTTTTAAAAACAAAGGAATTAAAACTGATTTTAAAACTTACACATACACAATGAAGGGAAATTAAAATAGGGGTAATGTGGTCCAACCTTTTTTTTCCAAGTTAAAAGTTGTGCAGCAGCATTTTGCACAACCTGCAGGGACCTGAGTTATGTCACACTAACCCCAAGATGGAGCAAGTCTAGATGTTACAAAACAATGAATAATGTTTCAAAGAGCTGCCTTGTTATAAATGGCTTTACTTTAGTCAGCTAAAGGGTAATAATGGAAGTTAATACCATTCTGCTACAATAAACAACAAATCAATCTTTCAATTATTCCAGGGTATACAGTAGAAATAATATATATGAAGGGAAGCCTTTTTTTCTATTGGGTTTGCATAATTAATCAGTTGAAGAAAATGACACTAAATATCCCTAAGGCTTGGAATGATTAAAAATGCTTGAACTGTGTTTTTTTCCAATTTTGAGAGAACTTCCTTTGAAATGTAAAGAGGAAGCGGGGACATAAACTCCACCAAGGTTGGACTGATATTATTTTCCTGTCCTTCACAAACAGGATACAGACTTGCAAGGTTTCAGTGGTAGACAGACACTTAGTGATAAATTTCTGTTTTTAATTTACAACTTGCCTTTTTTTGACAACTTGCCAGTTTTTGTAGTTTGGATAAAGAATACAGTCTATATCTAAACTGAATCCCATAAAAATCTGGTATCCTAGAGTGGGTTTTCATTATATTTAGGAGTAGTAAAACTGTTGAGCAGGGCGGTTGTGGAACTGTACTCCAAACTGTGGAAACTATTTTGTAATACAAAGTAGTTAAGTCAGTGGAAAAAAATAGCTGGAAATGGGAGGAAACCCTGCAAAGTTCCTGTTATCACTCTGGATTCTGTTACTCTTCACTGTGCTTACAGAGTTTAGGGAACATTTGACTTACTGTTAGATAAAACTCTAAGCCTTATTCAACACCCTTTTCAAGATAATGACCATGGTTGTGTTAAGTACCTTAAGATTTTGCTTAAATAAGAGAAGCAATAATTTAGCACTTGGTTTTAACTCAAGTAAGAATAGAAAGTCTTAATTTAAAAGATTACTCCGGTTAAAGAAAAGGGTAATTTGTACTCAAGTGAGTAAATAAAGGTTGACTTGAAATATTTGGTGAAATTTTGGTATTGTATACAGTACTTTAAAAGAAAGAAGATCAAATGACATGATTACAAAATGGAAACATTTTTTTAATGATTTTTTTAAACATAAAGGTCTAAAACAAATCTTTACAGCAGTTATATCAAATTTTTATAGAGAACTTCCAAAAATACTTTGCTCTCTCCAATACCATTACTCATGGTGGGAAAAATAATAATATACAATTATATTACTTAAGCTAAATTAACAAGTATGTTAGAGTGCTACATTTTTACTAAAAGCTACTCCAGTTCGTAACTAGTGTAACTACTTACTACCCTCCTCTGGTAATGACTAAGATAGGGAACCTGAGTTAAAGTAAAATATTATCATTAAGTAAGTATACTGTATACTTCTTATTGAGAAGAGAAAGGTCTTAAATAATGAAAAAAAACAACCTAAAAAGCTATTCTATTTTGGAATTTGATCGACTTCTTACATTTTATAGACAGTGTTGGAAATCTGTTCAAGCTTTAGTAACTTAATGTTAACATTATGCTGTTCCTGGATTTCTTCATAGAATAAATGTGAGTGCTCTGAAAAAGAAAAAAACATTTTGAACAAAGCTGTAGAGGGTTGTGGACTCAACCACATTCCTAAGGCTAGAAATATATTATATATATCCAATATTTGACTGAAGATGTCGTCTGAATGCTGAACACCTTTTGCTGAAACAACTGGGAAAAATCCTTACTATTATAAAAACAAGTCTATACAAATATCAAGACCAAATAAAAAAATATATATAATAGGAGTTTAACTTAAAATAAATGCTAACGCAAAAAAACTAAATAAATAAACGATTGGAGGAGACTGTCAGGTTGGGTGGAGGTTTTGGAAGATCCAAATGCAGAGATGAGTTTGCAGATTTAATTAAGTTTCCACAGGCAACTGTGAAATTTTAATAAATGTGAAAATCAAAATCGACACTAGACACGACAAAGCAACAAGAAACCAGCACTGAGTGAAGGCTCTGCTGCTCTTTAAAACCCAGCACTCTAATGAGACTGATGAGCTCCACCTGTGTAGACTACCCAGGTTCTCCACAAAGATCCTCTCTTGAGAGATGCATAACTCTGACACAAATACGGGACCCTGACAAAGGTAGGGTTTTATTTTTTTTAGTCGTGATGGTTAATCCACCCACCCTCCTCCTAATACATTCTTTTTCTCTTCACCTACACATAACCAAAAGAAATAAAAATAAAATGTCCTTCATCAACAGATTAAATTCTGAACAGAGTTTCAACAAATCTGAGCTTTTAGTTGAGAGACGTGCTGCCATGGTATTTCAAATGTTTCTATTCATATTCTTACATAAAATGTCATACATTCTTCTATTATTTTTGCACTATGCTACTTTAAACTTTCTCTGTTTCTGTATGATTTAATCCAACATGGTGAGGTTAAAAAATAGTTTATAGAGATAGATTTAAACTTAACATAACATATTGAATATGGGCTTTCGGTGAGCTATGCAGTCAAGATGAATATCTTATAAAGCCCTTATTTAAAATGTGAAACATGGAGGGAGATCACAGTGATGATAATTTTGAGACGGAGCGATTGTAGGAGGTGGAGGAATTCTCTTCATCCAGAATGTTATGTGGAGGAGGCCTGCAGAAATAAGCGGTACCAGTCGGAGCCCTTGGCTCTAGAGATGAGCCTCCTGACATATCTGGCCTAAAACGGAACAGATTCTGTTTGGTTAGTTGGTGTTTTAAATGATAAAATACATGTAGATTAAACTGTTAAAAAGTATGGACTAGATCTAAACTGTCTCTAACTCGCCAAAGAGGCATGGGAGAGACAGCAGCAAAGCTACTCGTGTCCATTTTTTCTAGGTGACGTTCTAACAGTGGTAGAGCCAACAATAATACTGATTGAAAATAAGATTCCATACCTACACCCTTTAAAAATGAGGAGGGCACCCAAAAGGATTTAGACACAACAGCAGGGTGGCAGAAGAATTTGCAGCAAATTGTCCAAGTAATGCCCGGGACATGTGGACAAAACTATAAGATGTTGGGACAGCTTATTAGCAAAACAATCGATTTTGGGATGTGTTGTGTTTTAAACAACTGCTGGTTTAGATATTATAAATGCTGTAAAAACCACATATACAGCACCAAAGTGAAATAGATTGCAAGGGAGTACCATGGAGTGTTTTTCAATCCTGGTCCTCAAGGCAACCTGCCCTGCATGTTTTAGATGTTTCCCAACTTTCACACACCTGTTATCAATTGATAGCAGATTATCAGGCTTTGCTGATCTGCAATAATCTGAATCAGGTGTGCTGAACCTCAGAAACATCCAAAACGTGCAGAGCAGGGTGCCTTGAGGACCAGGATTGAAAAACACTGGTTTAGAGGGTTGGGATGTAGAATTACTGAAAGCTTTTCCCAGTAGAGCTGCTGTCCTCTCCTCCTCTTTGGAAATAAACTCTGTTCTCTTAACCAATGTAAACAGTTCAAATACATGCTCAAAATATCTGTGGTTTGGCTGATTATTTTCACACAAATATTCAACATATTTTCTGACAATAAAATATGATTGCTTAGATTTACACTGAAATAATTCTCAATGAGAAACCACTAAAGAGGCAGGGTACAATAATATATAATTACATTTTTTATAAGGGACTTTTCCACTTTTTTTGGCTCACACCCTTAACAGGATAATGGCTTAACCCCATTCTGTGCGGGCAGCAATTATATTAATTGAGTGTCTCCTAAACAGAACAAAAACTTCTACTTTTTAAGATGTAAGCAATAACTAAAGTGATTCCTCTATATGTTTTTCAGTGATTTTTGCTTATAAAGAACTTCAGGGTTTGATACACATTCTGCATATACATATCTCAATGTAAACATATGCATAGAAAACATTTTTACGTTTCGTTGTAAGTTTGCTCTTACTGCATACCTGATCTTATTTTGTTCTGATCATTTCTACCTCTTTGTGTGACTGCATATGCTTCCATTTGCATTTCATTTTGTTGCTGGGATACGTGAATTTCCCTGCTGAGCATAAAGAAGGTCACTCTGTTCTATTTTCTTCTATTATACTTATATTTCCAAGTGTTTTTTTTTTTATTGTCAAGAATAAAATATTTTGTTATCTTATTGAACTGAATACATGCTAACAATACTATTAAATATGTATAAGGAAAAAGATTCCCTGTTGATTTCCTGGGTAAATCAGGAAAACCTGAAATAATAAACAATCATGAAAAGAAAGTCAAGTCAGGGGCGGAGTAACAGATAGTATCTTTATCAGCCTCCTAAGCAGTCTGTAAACTGAATTAAAGTCGTTGTGTCCTTCCTGAATAACTTGTATTATGTCTCTGTCCTGAAGAAAGAAGAAAACATGGAAACCCACCAGCAGAAGAATTCTCAAGACTCTTGAACTGAATAGTTTTAAAATAATTTATAGCTCTAGTAGAAAAAAAACGTTTACAACATAAATAGTATATACAAAAATAATAATTGTCAAAAAAGTGATTTAACAGGATTCTAAAATAATCATCAAGTTTGGCCTTCTTTGAATAGAAGTGCAAAAATGAAAGGTATAAAAGTGAGCCTCTTGTTGGTTCATTGCTTGGTAATGCTTTGGCAGTCTTTCATCTTTATCCGTATCTGTTCGGTCCAGTTCCAACCAAGCTGAAGTTGATAAGAAACAAAAAAAGAAAATCAGATTTTTATTTTCATAATTGAGCAAAAAAAAAAAAAAAAAACACACTGCAGTGATATTTTTGACAGATTCATATTCATAACTGTACCTTATATATCACTCTGAACAAGAAGACAAATTAAGAAATCAAAAATGAGGACTGGTTTCCTGTTGGTGTTAGGTTATAAAATATACATGAAATGATGTATACCTGAATGAAGAGGGACACTTAAAGTGTTTGGAAGTGTAATAATTCCGGCTTCAGGTCTTCTCCAGTGTCATATGAGCTAAAGTGTCATCAAATAAGGAATGTATGTGAGAATTATTGGGAGGGAATATTTCAATAAAAAAGAAAATGTTAAAGTCAGGTTTTATTTGATTTAATTGCAATCAGCATCACTGGGAATTGATGATTAGTAATTATAAGGGGAATATTTTAGAGGATGAAAAAAATTTAAAGCACTGAAATCAATATGAGTTGATAGGAACAATGTTTTTTTGACTGATTGTACATTAGTGTAACTTAGCAAGAAAAGCCCAGTCGGTTGCAAACCTGTAAGTTAGTTATTATTTTGTCTTCCATCACTCCCCTTCTTGACCCTTTGTTTAGATTTTTTTTTTACTTGGCCAGAAGATACTGTGCAACCAGGATGTCTTCAGCCAAACCCTACACTTCATCATTTATTTAGGCTGCTTTGACTAAGAAGTGGCCCAAAATCCAAGATCACATAAAAAACTTAGATAAAGCACTTCAGGGCCAACTGGAATCAGTAAAGGTCAGGGACCGATCATGTGAGCGGAGCGAAGTGGAAGAAATATGGTGGAGCGCAGAACGGTTTTCAATTCAAAGGCTGGAGCGAGGATTTGGCTCTGCTCCAGTTCCATATGACTTTATTTAAATTCATGTTTGACTTAAAACCTAGGCCAATGTCTATGCTGTAGTCTGTGCCTATAATCTGTTATAGTCTATGTTTGAACTTTACCACGGAATTGCCAAGATGAGGATGGCATATTGTGTGATAAAATATCATAAAAAAATACACTTACTATACTTAACAATACGGAGTGAGTTTACATAAAGTGATTGTTGTGGTAAGAGCCTGTTTTTGAAAATGGATCACATTCATGCAATATATGCTATTTTCTCATTTGCAATGGGATTGACCTTTTCTTAGGCAGTCTAGTAAAAAAAATTATAATTAAATAGGAAACGCGGGGCAATATGAATGGAGCAAGGTGTTATGCTCACAGCTGGAAAAAAGTGCAATAATTTAAAAGACAATATACATGTATCAGTCGCATCGTTAAATCAAACCCTGTGTCTCCCAGGGCCGTGGTATAATAACATAAAGGAAAAATGTCAGAAAATGCCTTTTGAGCAAGCATGGAGCGATTTCGCCGGAGCGGCAGGAAAATTAAGGTGACTGCGGAGTAGGGTTGTCACGATACTAAACTTTTCAACTCGATACCGATACTAAGGAAAATATTGGATACTCAATACCATTTTCGATACCACAAGGATAAAAACAAAGACTCCAAAAGTCTACAGAAATATATTCATTAATAAATAAACCACAATAAATAAACACAATAAAGGTTGTATGCTGTGCATAATATTAAGCAAGCTTGATAAAAAACTTATAAAATTCAAATTAAGTGGTCCTTCCTTGGCTATGCTTTGCACACATAACAATGACACTAGCCAAACCGGTTAAGAAACAAAAATAATTCTCAGCAGCTGCACCTCTTACAAAAAAAAAGTCTGAAACTGAGAAGTGCACAGAATTATTCAATCACACAGTGTTCTGGAAGTGCATTGTCCTCTATTCTGCACTTTAGATGAATGACTGCTTAGGTGCCACTGGTGACGGCACTGTATCGATACTTTTAAAAACGAGTATTGTATCCGGATACAACATTTCAGTATCGATACTTTTTTGAGTTTCGATACTTTTGACAACCCTACTGCGGAGCGGATTTTGAGCGGCGGAGCGAATGAGCGAACATCCTCCTGAGCAGGGAGCGGGAATTGCGCGGCGCTCTGCTAGGTTAATAAAGAGAAAGTGACCAAGCATACTGATATGAAAGTTATGCTCAAGTAGGCTGTTAAATAGGCTAAATACTCCACGCTAAAAATGGGTCACATTGCACCCAAAAACAACGTAAAATACTTTATGCAAATCATCCAAATGCAACCTGGACCCATTTGATTTTCTTTTCAATTATTATGTGAAATTTTCATTTAAATTATAACTTGAAGGCTGCTTTGTAAATGTGTCTTGCCTGAATGTCTGCGTGTTATTCCCAAGGGGAACTCCCACAGACAGGCAGCCTCAAACCTGAATATTATTATAGTGCACTCAGAGTCTCACTTAACTGTTCAGTGAGAAAGGACCAGCTATCTTATCGCTTCCCAGGCGATAGCTGGATGCGACACACACTGATAGCTCAGCCAGTTGCTGCTCTGTCCCCCTAACAGGTGTGCAGTTGGAGAAGAACATGCGAGGCGCCCAACTAGACAGTGTTTTTTGTTTTCATAAAGTTAGGTGGCTAACAAACTTTTTTTTCCCCCAACATACCATATCGGTGTGAGAAGTAAAAATATTTGTTATGAGAACTGTAGGAATGGGAACGCTGGACTATGAGGTTTAAAACATGAGCGCAGACTCCGTGCAAGTACGCGGGGGCCTTTACTCTGATGATCTGAATCTTTAAGAGAATGAAGTTGCTTTATTAATTTTCTATCCAATCTTATATGGTAAAAACATAAACCGAAAAGATCACCAAACGTCCCAGAACATTAAAGCAGCTTGTATTGTGTTTCAATACATGTCAGTGAGTTTAACATATAACAGAGTTATTGAAGTCTATATGAAAGAATTCATAAAGGGGTTGAAGAGGGAACCCATGCAAAGATGAATAGCAGCAAGAAAAAAGGAGAACCAGATATAAGGCATGCTATTTTTAAGTAAACATTATGAAAAAATATAGCTCACCCTTTTCTTCTAACAAGGAACTTGTTCAACATGAATATAAATATGAGGCCAACTGTGAAGAAAATACTTTTTTAATAATTTTCCTTTAATCCCAGCAAGTAGTGATATTATTTCCAAAGGCATTTGAAATTCATGTTACCTATCGTGACAACGATCACACTGACTATAACAGGTAAATGTCCTGTAAAAAAGCAAATACATTTTTTAAAAGACCAACAAATGACAACAGGTTTTGAGATCATATGCAGGCATCAAAACAAATACTCACCATTGCCCTTATTTACATTTATAGTCTGAAGATTCTGGCCTGCAAGTACATAACAATATAGTTAGTGAGTTTATATTAAACACTAAAGATCAGAGGGCTGTTTCACAAAACAGAGATAGCAGATTAAGCTGGGACTTTCCCAGATATTCTGGCTTAATTGAGCCCTTACTTTTTCACAAAAGCAGTAACAGAAACTTTAACATAGAGTTTAACTACTTTAGAATGAATTATTTTGACTTAACTAAAGGAACAAAAAGGAGGGAACTCTATATACTTCCTATCAATGCCAGGGCATTTAACTTTAACTGGAGCTCAGATAAAAGCCTCTGTGCTGTCTTTCCCTCATCATGATTTGCACGGTTTAGAATGCACCTACACTTTATGTCTTACTGGTGGAATATAAGGGGTTAACTGGAGTTTACCATTAGCTCTACTAGTCTGCGAATTTTATGGCTTACTGTGCTGTGCTGTTGGCTACCAGCTTCCGCAATACACCACATGCATCAGTCCCCCTCTCTAGTCCCTGGCAACTCTTATAAGCCATCTTCTCCATTGTATAATGTTTAAGGCACGCATTGTAAATTTTTGGGTTATGAATAAGGCAAGCTGACGGCCTTGGACTGAAAAGATGTTCCGGTCTTTTCCAGATGGACACATTTCAGTATGGCTCTGTAGTTGTTTTGGTTTCTTTTGACTTGTTGTGTTAGTGGAGGTGGCAGGCAGTGACAAGTCTATTAATGTGCCTGGGTAAAACTGTATTAAACTATACCAAACAACAACCACACAAACACATTGTTTAGCAAAGGAGAGCCAGCAGCTTAGGGCAAGAGTCAGGTATAAACTTGCAACTCAAAAACAAAGGACACACCTTCCACGACTAAAATGCTCACATAATGGACAAAGAAGTCTGAAGGTTTCAAACAGGGGTAAAGAAAGACATATTTGGTAAAAGAGAAAAGCAATCACTGAATAGACGGGGAAATATTGCAGTTTCAGCTAGTAAGCATCTTCAGTTAGGTTACACTAAAACACTCATCACGATTCAAATGACCTAGCACATAAACCCTACAAATCAAAAAAATCCAACAACTAGGAGAGCTTCATCAGCATAGATGGATGGTGATTCCATGGTGCTTAAAGGTATTGTGGAGGATTTTCGCGAAAAAAAAAAAAAAAAATTCCACTTATGAAAAAAAGAGGGAAACCAAGAGGGAATTTATTAATCGCACAAGCCCATTTCTCCTCGTGCACACACTGTTTAAAAGTTGCTGTTTGCATCGCTCATGCAAGCTTACTTTCCAAAATAAGATTTGCAATTTTTAGGTTAAGGTTTTAGGTAAGTGAAAATGGGGATGAGCACGTAGGATGGCCTTACGTAAACATATCACCAGAATGATTGACAATTAGGACGACCACTTATTTTCATGATCCACCCGTATGAAGAACATCCTCCACCTTTAGAAAACATTGGCACTCCAGCTACCAATTGCTGTAGAGCAAGCTGAGAGAATTGAAGAAGGCGTCTGGGTGTTTTTTTAGGAAAACCGAGCAAAGGGCTGGTTTCCTCTGATTTAAGCCTGTTTTGCAGTTGCATGACATGGATGACTGAACATTTGCATATGCATGCACCAGTGCTGGCACTCACTTTGTCTGCAGTCTTACATTCACTTTTGCCAGCAAGGGCAACAACAGTGTAGATTCTAGGTGGAGAAAGAGTTGGTAGGATCATACTAAGTTTGGGGGGGGATTACATTACAAATATATCACAGATGATTAAATATGCTATAATTTAGATTCGCAGTAAAAAATTAGAGTAAAAATCAGCAAGCTATACAGAAACATGTTTGGAAATCACAGTTATATGATTTATTTTGTACGGGGCAGGGGTTACTTTCTGATACAGGACTCCCTAATGTTATTGGTGTATTGGCTTGCAGACATTACAATGAAATGCCCCCCTTGGTGCACCCCTTGGTGCACATGAAGGTGATTTTGATTTAACAAAAGTCTTTCATCGTATCGCTGCTGAGGTAGAAGTAAGTTACGGTGAGGCCTGTCTCCATCTTCAGCAACAACAAAGCAAAGTGGTCTGGATCAGTCCAGTATGTTAAAAAATACTTTTATTGAACAGCAACAGAATAGAGAGCTTTTAACTTAATACTCTGAGCTCTGTGAGGGCTACATTGAAAGCTGCTGCTGCAGCAGTGCATGCTGGGACAGCTGTCAATCTCAAGAAAGAGAAGTCTGCTCTTATGCATACTCCGTGAAGAGGGAGGGGCGAGAACAACATCCGGCGACTTTGTCCATTCTCTGTCTGCTGTTCTTATGAATTGGAACAGTTCTAGGGTTGAGGCTGAAGACGTTTTTCATACGAGAATGCACAAGTAGGACATATTGAGAAACGGCTATTGACTGACTCAAACCCCAAACAATATGGATACCAAAATAGTTCAATGCTCAATATCTTCTGATTAACATTTACAGCACTTGCTTTTTATGTATTTAATTTTGATAGCTGGAAAAAATATCGCAATATATTGTCATATTTCAAAATTGCAATAATACTGCATTGTATTGTGACACGTGTCATATTACAGTACAACACCGATGCCAATACTCTTCATCAAGTCCTTTTTGGTTCAGTCATTTAAGTTGTGTGAATGTTACTAAAATGTGTATTAAAAAAACCCAAAACGAAAGATTATAATTATAAGCCATATTTGAACCCTGGATCCCTGTATTCAAGTAAAAAACTAGAAAAACATTACCAAAGAGGGTCTGTGTGGGATTTCAAAAAAGTAGTAGACATCCATCAGCTGTCAAATTCACACATTACTAAATTAGCTTTGATTTATTTAGGTTTATGGCTGTTCATGTGAGCAAAATGATGATAATGACAATTGTCAATTAAGAGAAGTAGTTTAATTTAGACTATTTAGGCCTTCAGTCAATCCATTTCTGTGATCTACATATTTCTGTGATCGACATCATAATTTCATGAACAAAGCTTCAGGCGCACATTTAACTAGATTACTTAAACCTGGCTTGACTTAGCAGCACTTGTTGAGCATAGACTGGCCTTTGTGATGAAGCCAGGATGCACTGTTCACACTAGGTCTGCCTGGCTTTATCTCTTTTTTTAGATTTTTAAACTCTGCTTTTGTGAAATACCACTTAGATTTAGTATTTTAGGATAAACATCCTAAAACATGCACAACCCTTAAGAAAATCTAAAATGACTATTTCTGACACAATTGAAATGTAACTTAAGTTTTACCATAAAAAAAAAAAAACACCACAAGCTAAACAGCTTAGTTACTATATATCATTTTAAGTTCCCTCCCAATAAATAAAACAATTTCTACCATTAGGCCTCCTTTTTCACAACAATTTTAAGGAAAAGTGAACCAAACATTTGTAGTAGCAAATACTATGGCAAAGACTTATTGTGCTGTTTCCCACTTCTTATATGAGGTTCAATATTCTTCACATTTAAAGTTTTGACGTGTTCTTTTTTTTGTCCACTAACTTGTATCAACCTTGAAGACATTTAGCAACTGTTTTTAAAAACAAACATGTAAAACCATTATGAACTATCTATTAATAGTCTGCAATATTTTCTACTACAAGCAGATGTACAGTACTAAATAGAGAATTTTCTTTCACTAGGGGATCATAAACTTTTCTGCTTTTTAACTAATTAATTTAAATTAATTAATTAATTTAATTAAAGCAGAACCACAACCAGTGGAAATAGAGTATGATAAAATGCCTTTAGTCAATAATAGTCACTCAAAGCTCATTATATATGATAATGTGATATATCAATATTTATTCTACAATCCACTAAAAATACATTATTTAAAAAGAAATAAACTAAAATACAACTGTTAGGAGTCTAGTTAATAAAATGGTTAAATGTTTAGAGGTATAAAAGAAACTGGTTAATTACTTAGTTAATTGGCAAAGGGATGGGCTGACCCTAAGCAAGAGAAATATGCTAACAAAAATACACACTTAAAAAACTTTAACTGCAAAAACAAAATGTAATATAAACCAAAACTTGCTTACCATCTTGAAATAAAAAGAAATTTAGAAGGTGTCTTAATGAAATAAAAGGAAAGGTTATATACCTTTATAAACAGAGGATGTAGAATACGGTAAAATGGTTGTACCAGCTGTTCTCTTGGGTAGCGATGATCTGTTATCTTTAAATGACATACAGTAGTTAGATTAATCCTTCTTTATTTTCTCAGTTATAAAAAAAAACTAAACAACGATTGCTCAATAATTCAAAGTAATGAACGGTAACATGCATTTATCATTAGAGAGCATGTCTGTACCTTGTTTCTGTGTGGAGCTACGCATTGATACCAAAGTTGTGATGGTTTTGGGTCTGGGAGTGGAGGTCGAAACTTAAGAAGAGAAGGATTTGGTGACAGAAAAAAAAATAATTACTTTACCTCTCTTTATTGAAAGGGGTAGACTTAAAATAGAAATACAGTGTTTGTCCCTTGAAGATTTCTGCTTCTGTTGCATTTAAGACATGTTTTAGAAACTGAGTGCAATAAAAGCGAAACATAATCGGAGTAAACAAAAAGCTATTTAAATATATATCTGTTAGGGGCAAAAATCTTTTTTTTTTAAACAAATTGTCTATTTCAATAACGACTGCCTCTTTTTCTGTCTCCATTTGCAGCAAAATTTGCATTTTAAACGTCTTTGGAAGAACATACCCAGTAACACTAAAGTATTTCAATTGGGTTAAGGGGAGTCCTTTGACTATGGGAATCTAGAACCTTGATTTACCTTTTATAGCCACTTAGACATAAACTTTTTTGAATTCTTTAGAGCTTTTCCTGCTGCTGAACTAAAAATTATTTGACCTTAAAGTCATAAACTGATGGTTGGTACATTATACAAGCCCCATGGCAGATACAACAGAACACAAATATCTTCTATTTTCATCCTATTAGGTTCTGTAACCATAACGATTTTTGCTTAGTAAAAGTAAGACATGATTTTTACATTAAATTATTCGTGTTCTTCTGGAATTTCTCCATGTTTATAACAATTCTTATCTTTATTGATGAATCTTGAATGTTGATCTAGTGGAGCAAGTTAATCTGTCGGTTAAGGTTAATTTGTCACTTGTGTTTCACAAGAATAGTAAAACCTTGGAAAAAAACCTTTAAAACTGACAGACGTTATAATTCGTTCTCTAATTTCTTTAAATTTGATCATATGTTACTTTTCGAGATATTTTAATCTAGTCCATCCTGTCAGGCAGTTTCGAATTGAATGACGTCTTGATCCTTCATATCTTGGCATCAATCAAGCCATGGTAAGAAAGGGGAAACTTTAATAAAATATGATAAATTAAGATAGTTTAATTATCTCAAAAATCTCATAAATTAATTTCCCCCATTGGGCCAGGTAGATTCTGGTAGATATTTCCTTAAAAAAGAAAATATCATATGGAAATGTCTTTTTTTAACCTGGCGCTACTTATCTTTAACTAATACTTAAAAAGTATTCAATGATGTTAAACATTTAGGTGTTAAACTAATCCTTCAGGGGGGATATACTTTTTTCATAGCTCTTTATATACTGTAGCTCCTCTTTTTATTTGCATGTGAATGTGTAAGAAAGCAAAATATTGGTTAGACATTGAACTTTGACACAATTTGTATACCTTGTTCTGTTGTTGCAGCAGAAGATGTAATAATTTTTGTTGTAATACTGTCTTCTGTGGTCACACCTATGAATGAGGATTTAACTTAAGATCATCCTGAATACATTTTTTGGCCTTTTATATAGACTGAATGTTGGGCAGCAGCATGCAACTAAATCTGACATGAAGAAGGCCTTTATTTATGACTGACAGCCATGCATTTATGAGTCAGTTTAATTCTCATTGTGAGTGAAAAGAGAACATTATGAAGGATCATCTATTAATGTTAAACGCTCTTGTGTTAAACTGCTCCTCTGTACTTAAATGACGTGTTAGCAAAATACATGTTGACAAATGACCAACATGTATTTTGGGGTATTTTGGGGTAAAGTATCTATTATATCCAAGTATTCGGAAGTGGTTTAGGAAGAAATGGATGGTTAATAAAGAACCCACAGTGGGTAAGCTCAGGCATAAATAAGTAAAACTTAATATTTGTGTAATTCTTTACACTTTGAACATAGACGCTGTTTTTTTTAGATCAGGTTTCGATGGTGATGGCAAGTTATGTTATAAAGTATTTGGACTTTCTTCAATGTAACAAAATAGACTTAACATTTTAGATGATGAATTGGATTACAAGAGAGAAAACCAAAGGTAAATGGTCTGTTGATGCCAGTTTACAACATGTTCGGACACATCGTCTGTAAACCGAGGAGACATTCCAAAAAGAACTTACAAGGAATAAACTGCATTCCATTCAGCCACTATGTTGACCACTTTTCAAGGCTCAAAGTAAACAAACTCAGAAATCCTTGAAGTGGTCTTGTATGGAACACAATCACAATTCTTAGCCTTGCTTTATTACTGTGTAGAGACATTATTGCATGAAATAAAAGTCTTGACTGGCAGTTTTACTACTTGTTAAGATGAAAAGATGTTTGCGTCTTTTAAGGAAAAAATGGATTGATATTCATTCAAATTTTTGATTTTTCTGATCATTTTGGAACCCTAATAAATGCAGTTTAAAGAGTTTTATTACAAACAACAAAATCATTCAAACTGAACTGTTAGTGCAGGTGAGGTTAAATTTAATAGTCTAGATGGAACATTAATATTTTTTTAAGGTAGTGAAATAAATGGCTGGAAAAGTTATTTTAATAATGATTTGTGTTATTTGCAAATGTATTATCAAAAAGTTAGTATGTATTTTGTCTGGCAAATCTTCTAAGAAGCCTAAAAAAAAAACATCAAAAGTGCTTACCAATGCATGTTGGAGGCAAGGGATCATATTTCCCGGTTTTGGAGCAGATAGTGCTTTTACTCCCATTTAACCTGTATCCTGGGTTACAAGTGAAGTTTATAATTTGACCATATTCTGGTTTTTTGTCAGATTTCCAAGAAATTGTTCCATTTTCCACTTCGGTTGGTTTGGGACAAGTAACAACTAGGAAAGTTAGAAAAGAATATTGCAGTTAGATATCAGAAAAGTTATACCATATTTTCACGACTATAAGGCGCATATAAACGTCTTTTTTTCCCCCTCAAAATGTGCAGCGAGCCCTATAGTGCGGTGCGCCCTATGTGTGTTGTTACTGCGGACGTTGAGACCACCATGAGAACGTTAAAGGGGGAAGTGTGGGCGTGGATTGTGTATAAAAGAACAGGTATGTGCTTTATGCAGAACTCCTCATCTCCTCATTGAGGGAGGTGTATGTAAGGAGACCAGGTGGTTTTTTCTATGCATCACCATCGCTGTAAATCTGTGACTCCATGCTTGCCCATCTCACAGGTGAAACAAATGAATGCTGTGCTGACAAAGGAACTTCAACCGCTCGACATCGGTGTGAACCGGTCGTTCAAAGTAATGCTACATTCAACCGTCTGCTGCTTCATTTTTGCTGCTTGTACCAGTTAGTTTTGACGCGCGGCTGAAGCAGCTTTGCTGCTCTGACTGCGCGGTGCAAAAGTGTGTCTGACGCGCGTTGGGCGGAGCTACTCTATCCTTTCTTGGCCTTGCAGCTATATTTGCTGTGATCAGTGGGAATAAAGTAGTTTTAAGATGTTTTTAAGTGAGAAATCCACTTGAAAACTTAATCATTGCAGTCAGTTCATCCAGATTACAATCCCACCTTCCAATATTATTTCTGTCGGAGCCGCTCAGACCCCCACATACCAGCGGTGCACTGTCAGTAGGAATCCCATTCAACAGCAGCCTCTGGCCGGGTCGCCTCCTCGCGGTTCACCGCGGCAGCTGGTAGGTGTTTTTCATCTAAATAATCTAAACTGCAGGCACCAGGATAATAAAAGCGAACATATTCTGCCGGCAGATTTTTGCATTTTAAGTTAATTTATGTGTCAATTAACTGTTTCAGAGGAGTGATCACAGCGCTCTGTGTCATCAGCGATGTGTCTGTCTCACGGCCAGCTCCCAGGTTTGATTAATACTTTGTAATAAATACATGAATAAAGCACAATCATACTCAGTTTTGCTCCCGCTCTATTTTCAAATACGCAGTAGAGGTATTTAAACGTAGTAGAGGACATGTACCTGTATATAAAAAAACGCACCCTATAGCCTGGTGCGCCTTATGTGTGTGTTAAATACAGTAATGGCACACATAACTGAGACTGTGCCTTTTAGTATGGTGCGCCTTATGGTCATAAAAATACGGTAGGTAAGACAAGAAAAAAACAACTAGTTGAAGCATAACACTTACTGTTACATGATCCCCTTCCAAACCATCCAGAAGCATAGCAATGTCTAAAGCTAGATCCAGAAATACGGTACCTGCATAAAGACAAAAGTAATCAAGTAAGAAGGTTTACTGGCACAAAAAAGGGTGTATGTACCCCTTTTAAAATTCACAATACAATGTTCCTAAATACATTTTACACTGTATTTAGTGCACATATAAACACTATTTTATTGTACTTTAGGTTTTAAGAGTGCAGAAAAGATTAATTTCACCTCTCCAGGTGCTGCGGAGAGATATTTATATTCTATCAGGGTTCAATTTTTCAATCTGCTTTTCCTACTAAATTTTTTGAGCAATAACATCACAGTATCTGCTGGGGAGCTGCTAAACAAGGACCTCTGACTTACCCACTTCGTAAAACCGCCATTTTTTATTTTCCTCAGCGTCCAATTCTAAGCTCAAGGATGCAGAGGCTCCAAGTCGATAAGACAAAATGTTTGGTCGTTGGGTGTATTGACACAATTCATGACACTGTCTACCAGTTTCAAGGCCCCTAGATAATTATATCTCTGCTATCAAATGACAAAAATGTCTAACTGGGGTGGGGCAATACTCTGTGACCTCAGGCTGCAGCCACAAAAAGTAGAATGTGGTATCCGCACAGAAGACTTCCCTGTAGAAAGAGCAGCGGAGCTGTAATAGGCTTTCTAATGTCACACAAGTTGGTAGCACACTAGCATTTCCACACATGTAAAGAAGGTAGAATAATAAAAGGAGAAGCAGGACGTGAACAATCAATGCTAGAAAAGAGATGTTTGTGTGAACCTGACCTGTGGAAGAGGAGCATTATGGTAGTAAGTGTAAAAATCTACCATAAATTCAACAGTCATTTTAGCTTCCACCGCCTTCAGTACAGCGTCCGCACAGACAGAGGAAAATTGGCAACTACAAGGACATCTGGTGGAAGTGGTGGACGAGCAACAACTACGACCAGTGAGGGTTCGCAAATGTATCTGATTTAGCCCGCGTATATCAAAAGATTGTGAAAACTCTTGTAAAGAAATTACTTTCACTTTTCAAGAAATTGGATATATAAATAAAAAAAGCTGTGTTTTCCACTTCCTCATTTAGCATGGTGTTGTTAGCTTGCAGATTGTGCTGTACACACAGCACAAACAGTGCTGCATGTCTCATTATCCGTTCAGAGGATAGGTGCGTCAAACATGCCCACATGCACAAACATGGCAGGTTGTGGACGGTTATGCAGATAGGGGTATTGTGACAGACACACTGTCTGTTTTCAAATGTGGTCAATTTTGTGGCCCCTTCGTCTGGGACCCCTACAACCAAAAAGGTTGGTGTATACATCTAAACTAGGCCTTGCCTGGACAAAATGTCAGACCTACCTCAAAACAGGGATAAATGAGGGGCCTGAGTTGCAACAATAACCGGGAATTAAGCCAGTTTCACTTTCTGTAGACAACTACATTTTTCAAATATTTGAAGGAAGGATTGCGAAGGGTTAAGGGCGCCTATATTTAGCACTCATGGGAAATAGTCAGGGAATTCTCTGAACTGGTCACCAATCCATCACAGAATATGTCCCATTGGATAGACAATATTGAAAAGACAAAAAACATTCCCTTTTTTTTTATTTTAACAATTTTTTAACAAAGATAATTACTGCTCTAAGTGGTTCTCTCTGTCACCTAAAGGCATGTTTTATAGTCTCTATGCTACATTTAATGATTAATCTATTAATAAAATAGTTATTTAAGATCAATCCAATTAATTGTTTCACCCTTGTATAATGGATTTGCTTTGGGCTTGTAGATCATTTTACTGTTAATCCAAAAAAATGGAAAAAACAAAAACAAACAACTAACTCAACAGCCACAAATTGATCTAAACAAAGTTAAATTCCACAAATATAAACAGTTGTATATATCCTGGAGGACAAGGAAGCCATATTTTAAGTATTTTTAAAGTAATATGTTTTTCAATTTGATATTTATCAATTTTAATATATAGCCCTTTTTTTCAACTGTAGGTACAGTTCCAGTTGGATAACTTGCCAGTGGGATCTGACTGAGCCGCTTCGCTGGTAGGAGATAAATGCTGGTATTGTAGCAATAAACAATAACAGGCGTCAGAACTGAACGTGACAATATTAGTGTCTCATGATAGAGCCACGTTGCAGCTTATCAAATCAAACACTTGATTTTGTGAGATAGCAGCATGGCATTTAAGAAATTAGCTATGGAACAAGAATGTGTGCGATCATACATACCCTTCTTCACACAAGGTTCTAACTTTTGAACCAAACAGAGTACCCTCACTGTATTCAAACGTCATGTGCGGCTCTGGAGGAGGGGGGCCACAGTCCTTCTCTGTGATTTGAAGAAAAGAAAAATAAATATCAATACAGAAGATAGAATAAATCAAGATGATGACATAAAGCATTTTGGGTGGCTTTAAAATGGAAGTTAGAAGGAACTCACTCTTGCAGACGATGTCGGATTCGCTCCATTTGCCATTAATGCAGTTTATGGTCACAGAGCCACTTTCTTTTTCATATCCATTGTCACATTCTAAAGTTGCCTCAGAACCCTCTGGGAAATCATTTTTTAGGAGGGTTTCTTCTGTGAGAATCCAATTCTCTCCAACTTCAGGTCTGAGGCATTGAGCTAAGAGAAAATAAGATTCATATATATATAAACTGTTGTTGTTGTTGTTTTGTTTTTTTTTATAAGAGCTTCTATAAAACAGTAAAAAAGGATAAAAATTTTAATATTTTGTTTTAACAAAAAAAAAAAGTATTCAGACAGGTCTGTGAGCAAGACCCTCAACCCCACACTGCTCCCCAGGAGTCACACAATGGCAGCCCACTGCTCCCCAAGGGAATGGGTTAAAATGCAGTTAGTTAATGAAGTTAACTTCTCCATTGTGAGATCAATAAAGTTAAATTTAAATGTCTATTTCTACTTCATAGAATTATTTGCTTATTGACTTTACAAGCTTTACAAGCATAATGTCATCATATGGCAGGACATTATAATATTATAATATTTGTATTAATACTATTATCAAAATATATTTTTAAGTTTTTGGATTCAACTTAAGTAGTTTTTCAGATGTTTTTCATTCTAATCTTTATTTATCCTTTTGTTTTTCAAACAGCAGGTTTTTCTATGTGCCTTATGTCTTCTGAGTCACATTTCCATTATGTTTAATTATAATACTAATTAATTCAATAAAAAAAACCTAAAACTTCAGGTTCAAGTTTCTCTTTTTCTATTTAGCTTCATGGATGAAGAGCTGATCTCGCTTATAAAGCAGCAGTAAATGCGCTCAATCAAATCCTTGGTTTCGCTGTAATACTGACCTGCAGCACTAAAGACAAAGAGGTGGAGAAGCAGGGCCAACCTGCATGTTTCCCGTCTGCTGATGTCCAGTAAAGCCTCCATGGCAACTCTTAGAAAACCTCTGGAAGTATCCGGTTGAAGCGCAGGTCAACAACTAAAGAGTAAAAGCACAAGTGTGAAGACGATCCCCAGACTATCAACGATTCTCCTCCCACTGACGATCGCTTTAATTCTCCACAGTCTGGTCAAGTTAACGCGTTTACAGAATACATACTGATTTCAAAATAAAAGCATAGGTTCTATTATAGAAGTTTAAATTAATATAGTTAGTTTCTTCTCCAACTTCATTGATCAATTAAATAATTATTTCTTCCGTAAATAATAACCCATATATGTTTATTGACACAGTGCCCCCTTAATAGATTTTAAATATGGGCAAGTCACATTATTTTGAAATATAAACCTACATTTGGACACATTTCGAGTTTTTTCCCCCATGCTTTTAAAGGGACGTTTTATCATCTGTTTTTACTCTATCAATAAAACAAAATAAATAAAACCAATAGTGTGAAGAATCAAATCAGTAAAAAAACAAAAGAAATAAAGAGATTTCATTAGTACTAAACTTTCCTCACCACTCAGCCCCACATGTGCCTTCAGTGAACTTTACTCCAAATGCTGTAACAGGAAAAAAAGTGGAAATCCATTGGGTGTGACCTGTCATTTATTAACTGAAAGATTTTTATTATGAGCTGCTCTTGACATGTCTGCGTGTCAACAGAGATAATATCACAATAGTTAAATCATTATTGCTTTATTATTGATTTTGGACAGAAATGTATTTTTAATGTATCCACCCTCCCTCTTCTCTTTGAACCAAAACAATTAGAGTGAGTCACTGTCTGTAGTTTTGTGATATTGTTATGGATACAGCAGATTTTTTTCCTTTTCTTTTTAAAGGGGATAGTGCCTAATTGCACACACTTGCACAGGAACACACAAACATTCCAATGAATCCAGCACCCGCTTTAAACCACAACTGCTTTGACAGGGGTAATTTTTCCCCTCCACCCACTGTTACCAGAGGAACCCTTATATAAATCCTAGAGTAACCAAGCAACAATGCATTCTGGCCTCTTGCATACACTTTAAATGATACTATTTTTCCAAAACAGCACCAAAACAGGTTTTATGTCTGTTTTTTATCTAATGTGTAATGTATAATTCTAAAAATGTGTAGAGCTAGTCTAAAGTTTAAATAGCTTGAACTCTGGTTTAGAAGTTGAAAAAATATGAGGTCAAGCAAGAAAAATGGGACCTGTAACAAACACTAAGCACTTTCTTCCATTTTTAGGTGCTGATATAGCAGCATAAGTATGAGCAGGTTGAGTTGGTCCAAGGCGGGCTTTTCTTATCTTTCTGAACCGCCTGTCCAAGTGAAGCTTGAAGATACCTCCCTTTCCCAAAAACTTACTAAAATGCAGCCGTCTCCCCTTGCCAATAGTGAGGAAAGATGTTTCCAGAGTAGGCTATTGATATCTGGTTGCTTAATTCACATGTTTTTAAGACACATCACATAAGTAACATGCACATCTAACTTAATAAACACAACTTTTCTACACCTCCCTTGTATTTTTTATTTGCAAAATGCTACATTAAAAGCTCTGTTTTTCAGATAACCATTTTTTGCTAATGCATTTTCCACAAAACAGGATAAAAAGGAAGGAATTAGAATACAAATATTACTGTGGCTGCATTCCTTTTTATCTGGGAAAACAAAAACAAGGAATGCCAAATATTTAAATGGTCTACTTTACATAAATGATTGTATTATTACTGTGATGTATTTCAAAAAATATTAAGGGTAGTAGCCTATCAACAAGAAACTTAAAGCCAGGAAAAACAAATGAATATATAGGTGCAAGGTTCAAAGGCAGCCTCAGGTTTTCCTTCCCCAAGGCTCATACACTGAACTCTTCATGGAAGTTGGCGACATCTGGAGCTGAAAAAGATAAATTGCGTGAAAAAAAAAATGAAAATATGCCAAAAGCATTTCAAAATATGATGTTAAAAAGGAAAAATACCAAAATTTTAAACCAGTAGTATCTTACACGCATGGAAAACAATTGTTGGTACCAGAGATGGCAAAAGTACTCTCTTTCCGTACTTGAGTAAAAGTACAGATACTTGTGTTAAAAATACTCTGGTAAAAGTGGAAGTACTGATTAAACTTCTTTACTCAAGTAAAAGTAACAAAGTACAGGCTTGTAAATTTACTTAAAGTATAAAAGTAAAAGTAGAAACCACTTTTTTCATGCCGTTGCCTACATTTTAAATGGATGTCTGCCAATAGGACTAGATCTCCGTTGTGTTCATTTTCAATCATCTCGTCGTCAATGCTACTATGCTAACGCCACCGCCACCAAGCTGCAATGATTTGCCGCCAATGAATACCGCCGAATCTGTCGATTCATCTTGTAGTGGTGCGTCAAATGCAACGTAGATTCCCATCCAATTAGATTGAATTTGGTATTGATGACGTGAAAAATAATAACGGTAACTCCATTGAAATGATTCAAAACTAAAGTAACGAGACAATTTTTTAAAATGTAAGGAGTAGAAAGTACAGATATTTGTGTAAAAATGTAAGGAGTAGAAGTAAAAAGTCGCCATAAAAATAAGTAGTAAAGTAAAGTAAAAATATCAGAAAATTCTACTTGAGTACAGTAACGAAGTATTTGTACTTTGTTACTTCCCATCTCTGGTTGGTACACAGGGTTTGATCAAATGAAAGCATTATTATGCATTATTTTTTCTGAGAAGTAAAAGGATATATCAGTAATGAGACATGAGAATCAACCTATATTTTCCATTTGTTTTAGGATCAAAATTTAGATTGACTTGAATTTTGCAATTGACGAATACGTTTTTACTTCATACTTTCATTGAATAAATGCATGTTTTTTTTTTAAGGTAACTTCTAAAGAATAAAACTTTAATAGTTCTAATATGATAGAAGCTGAAAATTGACAATTTTTTGCCTTGAATGCATCCCTGTAAATGAAACTTTACAAAAAAGACTTCTACACAATGTTGAACTTGCATTAGAATACATTTATTTACAACATTTCAGTATTAGACCTTCATCAGATGAAGAGAAAATGAAATTTAAAAGTAGAAACGTTATTGCATTAAATCTGAGGTCTAGTTTCTTGAGAAGATTGTTTCTTTTTTTATTTGGTTGGTGACGATGTATGTATTAACACATTGTAGCGTTCTGCCCTGCAAAGTGGTTGCATGTTTTAAAGAACTTACTTTTTCCCACAATTTTTTTTTTTGGATGTTGTTTTCCACTGACGTTTGATTCTGTGCAGCTGAAAGGATCTTTACTAGTATCTATTTAGTTTGGGACACTTGTTATGATGCATAACTATAGAAAGTTTCTTTTTCACAGCCAGGAAGAGCTAAATAACATTTCAAAATCTGAAGACATACAACATTTACATCTAACAACCAGATAAGTTGAAAGAAATGTGCAGACGATGCAGAGCAGGAGCAAGGAGAGAAAAGGGAAGTAGAAAATATCATTATATATTATGTGTGGGGCCTTCTGACTGAACAAGCAGGAAGATATTTATAGAAGGCTGGGAAAAATTATTTATACTGTGTGTGTCTTTTTACTGGGGCGTGTTCAGCACAAGCTGCAACCTGATAACACCACACTCAAGGAAGTAGAAGACACAGCCGTGTGCAACTTTACCAAAGTCTTTTTGTACTTTCTAGTCATTTCTTTCCAGAACTCCTTCCACAGTCTGTTAATAGGGCTGATAGGAGCTAAATCAAATGACGTCTTACTTGCCATGTTTTCGATGCAGACTGTCTGCATTATACCTAATAGAACTCAACTCAAAATGTTTTCTACTCCATTCTTTGCACCATATACATTTATTTATGTTTGCACTGCTCTGAACCTTCCATATCAATGCCTTTTTGCACCATTATTTCAGTCATGCCTTTTGCCTCGACTTTCTAAGGTTTTCGCAGTGGCTGAACAAAGCTTTTGACTTGTTTTATGTAAATGTCAGGGTGGTATATATCTCTAAAGCAAGACCTCCTCTTAGGAATTATATCCAAATATTTGACTCTGCTCACATTATATGCTAGCCTGGGTGCCAGTCCGAACTTAGTCCCGCCCACAAGGTTTGAGTTCGGGGAAGTTCGGTCTGGCTCTGCTCCATAGTAGCGCGAGTATTAAAGCCCACTGTCAGGCGATCCAATCAAATTGTCAGGGCGGGCTTTATACGATGATGGACAGATGATCAAGAGTAACGTTATCAACCACGTGACCAAAGTGCGCTTGGGTGACAACAATAATGGCTGCCGCTGGAGAGTTTGGGTGAGTAGATTCTGCTATTAGGTCTGTTCTAGAAGATATCGACAGCAAATTAATTTTAAAAGAGGAACAGAGAAACGCGATCAAGGCTCATCTTCTTATTCTAGGCGTGAAACTGCACGCTTTGATTTTTGTGGACAACAACTATGCCTCGCTTAAGATACGTCACGCACTCCGTTGCTCTTATTGGTTGTAGGTCTATCCAATTGAGTATAGAGGCATTTTTTTCCTGGTTCGTTCAAAACACGCCCCATAATCACAGCTCTATGGTGCAGTATCAGACTCATATTCTGACTAGAATTGAGTCGGACTACGTCAGGCTAATTATATGCCCCTTTATCAGAGGCAATGGTGCAGACCAGGAAGCAGAGTTGTAGTTTAACACACATCTCTGCAGCTTCTCTACTGTTACCCACTCTTTACTCCATCCAGACAGTGTCTTGCCCACGACCAAAATCTAATAAATTAGCAAAGATTCCGAAAGGAGTAAATCATGATAATCTAATTAAAATCAAAATAACTGAAGCATCCTCTTGGAACAACAACACAAAAGCTTCTTTAGAGCCACTGTAAGACATATAGCTACAGGGATCCTGCCGTCTTTCAGCTATCAACATCTACAACAATTACTTGAAAAGAATCTGAAAGGGCTAAGACACCATTTCATTTGACCTTGGAATCAATAAGGTATTTTGGAAAGGAATTAAATGCCAACTAAAATATAGTTCAATGTTGTTGTTTTTTTAATGAAAAAAATTATCACCTGGACCCATTAGTCTGAAATCTCAGTTCTCAACCAAATGTGATTTGCAGATGTTTTTGTGTAGAAAAATGAATCAGAAGAAGGACACAGTAAATAATATTTTCGGTAAAGTTTTATTTTTAGTGCATGAACAGAATACTATGTCAAGGTCATAGCCTACCCCTTTCAATCCATTTTAAATATTTTCTCTTTTTTATTGTTTTTATACATAAAAAAATAACAGAGCAATTTTAATATACCTCTATTTTTCTCCCCAAAAGAGCACTCAGCAGGTTGGTATATAAAGGTGCTGTACAATGTACAAACATTTACATCTACTGGTCCTACAGAATGTAGAAGGTAGCACAAGGAATATTTTTTTTCTAATGAACTGATGCAAGGCCACAGTATGATGTAGAGATGACAAAGAAAATGATCGGAACAGAATCAGCCAGTATAGGCGCAGACAGGCGCAGAAAGAGTGTTTTCCTTCTCAGGACCAGAGTGAGGAGTCTGTACCTGGTAGTCAGAGCTGGATTTACTCAAACACATTTACCAAACTATTGCACAAAACTCATAGTCTAAGCAGTACTGTAAACTGAAAACCGCTTGATACAATCAAAGTTTACCCTCCATTGGACTGTCTTTAACATTGCCTTTATCACATTTGCTACAACACTGTTCCCTGAGCTCATCTGAATTTTTTTATTAGTTATTTATTCTAATATCTCAGATTTTATTCTAACCTCTGATTTATTGTTTCTACATGCAACTCATTTCAAACCATTTTTCTTATACCTGCCTGCCTGCTTTACAACACAATATATATGCTGATGGCTTGTCTAAACACAAGCCTTGCATCAGCAGCATGGACAGTCTCTCAGTAAACAATACGTCACTCTGGCCTTTATCATCCTTCATGCTAGCCTGATGCACGACTGACCACACAGCAGGATAGACGGACAGCATACAGTAGTCAGCTTCTCAGTAGATAAACATAAACAACCAGGGACATAACTCAAATATGGTAAAGCTTTACATAAACTACCTTGAACCCTTTAGAAAACATGAAATGTAAATTTAAAATAAATAATAATACCAATACAACATAAAAAAATGAACTGGTACTAAGTGAACATCAGTAGTTAAATACAGCTCTTTCTGTTATGCTACAGGGCATATGCAGTGCAATGGAATTCAATAGATATTTGTACATTTTGACACATTCAAATATTTATATATATATATATATATAACTATATGATATATTTCACAATGAGACACATTTTGAGAGATTGCAAACATTTGGTACAGCAGTTTGAATGTCTTGAACTACTATGAAAAGTCCAAGAGAAATCCGATCATTCAAGAACATTAGGAAACAGAAGAATGCTCCAGTAACTGGGACATTTTTCAAAACCCATATTAAAACATGGGATGGTTTATTCCATAAAAACACATGAATAAATATACCCTCCATTTGCGTTTGTGTATAATTTATTCTATTTTTTATAATGTATTATCTCAATATATTACAGCCTCTGTTATTTTACACATGGTAAACAAGATATGAAACCACAAGTTTCTGGTCTTTTTTTAATGATGCTGAAGGAGTGTCTTGACAAAATCCTCCGAAACAGTCAGAAGTAACCATTAGAGTAAACACTTTGACACCACTCTTTCAACTCACCCAGTGCTAAGAATGAGAATTATAAACTAGGAAGCGGTTTAACCTGGGTGATGTGCAGAACACGTGCAGTAAACAAAATCAAGGACTAACAGCATGCAGTTAAGCAAGCCTGTAAGTAAAAAAAAAAGTCTACATGTCTCCCAATGAGGCAAAATTAATCCTTTTGACAGCCATGTGGGAAGTTAACTACAAATCAAAGGCAGGGCCTCGCTCCTTTGTTTGCATAAGAGTCATTGCATTGCTATGGGTGGAAATTGTGGTCATTGTCCGACAGGAGACTCCTAGGATTGGCACATTTTCACATTTTAAGATGTCTAGTTGTGACAAGGCCCCGAGCGTGCGGCATGTGCTGAAGTTCCACACCGAAGATGCTGAAGCAGCGAACAAGGCAGAGGGAAGTGCTACATGTAAAATGTGATATCATTCTACTCCCAAAATATAAATCTGACCTCAACCTAAAGATGATGAAAATGGTCAGCATGTTGCACATCTCTATTCATGGAAGATCTCTGAAAAAGAATGCTCTACTCTGTTGATATTGTGACGATTCAATGGCACAGTTTATGTCTAGGTGATTTAATGTTCTTTTACAGAGGGTCACGAAGGACTTCAGCTTTAGTAAGGATTTTGGCAGAGCTTGGTACTTTCCAAGGACCAGGGCCAAAAAATCCTTTTTGTCTCTGGGTGGTCCCTGGAATACTGTCTGTAGAGGCCACAAAGTCCTCTTTATTATGCTGTTTTTTGAATTTGGAGGATTTAGGTTCTCTTCCTTTTGTCTCCTGTGCTGAATCTACAGAGTCTTTTCTGCTCCACATATCTTTGAAAAATGACAACGAGTCTCTTTTGTTAGCAGTGTCTTTAGTTTTTCTCTTGTTTTCTGCAGGGTTGCCATTAACTGCTCTGAGCTCAGAGTCTTTGTTTCTACTTGTTTCACTCTCCCTTACCGTAACAGACTGCGTCCTGTGGCGGGCAAACCCTCCCTCTCTTCTTTTAAAGCTTTCTTGCTCAAGGCCTGGCCTCATTCTTTTCTCACTTCCTAGCGTGTATCTTCTGATCTGAGGAGTTCCCTTCTCACCACTTTTATTTTCATTACCTAAGCTCTCTCTGATGGAAGAGTCCTTTAATCTCCAGTGATGCCCTTGTTGATGCTCCGTCTGCTTCAGGCTTGATAGCGCTTGATGCTGGATTGGAGCCTTCTCCTGGTTCACAGTTTGAATTTTTGTATTACTCATCTGAGGCATTTTGCTCCTGCTCAGTGCTGCTTCCTCTGCATGACTCTCAGTCTTTTGGGGACTCTGATGTTGCTCTTTGGCTTTAGGAAAAGTCTCCTCTGTTATCTTTGGACTGCTTAGCTCTCTTGAGTCATTTGTAGACCTGCTTCTCTGGGAGAACTTCATTTGATCATAAAGAAGGGGAGAGAGCTGGTTGATCTTCTTTTCTGTCCACTCATCACTCTCCTCCAGTGAGTCCAAACCCCTGCTGTGACGGGGCTCATGGCCTCGCAGGGATTTAGTGCTCCCATTTCGGGAATGTTTCAGTTTTCTAGATAAAGTTGAGGAAATAAAAACGGAGGCCCCCGTGGGATGAGGGGAGGACTGAGGTGATGTGCCAGAAAAGAACACCTCCTCAGAAAAGCCTGTGGGTGAAATGAGTTTTTGACGACGTCGATCTGGAAGAGAAGCACACATTTTTACATGTCAGAACGATAACATTGCAAGCGGCAATCAATAATCTAATTTTCAGAATGTAAGGGGAATAACTTTAATCGTTGAGGTTAATAAAAGTGAGAAAATGTGAGTAAGAAAAGAATTACCAAGGTTAAAGAGAAGAGACCAGCAAAAGCAGTGACGGTGTTAGTGTTGGTACTCAGTGTAATAGCATGCAGAAGAGGAGGCTGTGTTACCTGCATCAGGAGCAATGAAAGAGCCAAGGGGAAACAAATGATTACTGGTTATTTGACAAATGAAAACACAGCAGTTTTCTATTCTATATATTTTCTGTTTAAATTAACATAAATGTTTATTTTTTCATTGTATGTCTTTGAATATTTTGGACATGCAAATGCACTGTAATTGTTTTATGTAATTAGTTTGTTAAAGGGACCCCAGGAAGAGTAGCTGTCAAGCTTATGACAACTAATGGGGATCCAAATAGTAATACCATAAACTATACAAATCTGTGAAGTATGGAGCAACAAACATATTCCCAGAAAACATTATTTTTAGCCAAATGAATGTAATATTTCCTACACCTAAGTATTATGTGCAGAAACGTGAGCAACGAAACTGAATTTGAAGTACCCTGACTGAATCTGTATTCATTTGACATGTTAAAAACATTTCATGGCATTTTAAGCTCCAGCTGATGGGCATGTATGAGCTTGCTAGATGTCATTGACGATGGCAAATTATCATCTATAATAAGTGTCGTGTAGAAGGAAAACAAGATGGGTGTGGGATAACTTAGAGCTATAGCTGTTGGCTAAAGATGCTAATGTAGAATAGGGCGCAGTCTGTTTCATTGTTTTGTGTTTTTCCATCTATCTACCTCATGAACACTTCAGCTCAAAATGTGGTAAAAATAAGTTTAATCTGATGTGAAATGTCAATCCACCAATCTTTGCTTGATTACTGTGTGGCCAAAGGATCTGGTTGTCTGAAACAAAAGGCAGTGGCTCCATTGAAATACATCAAATTTGGTCCTACCTTCTGGAACTAAACCTTAGATCAAAGATTATATCAGATATTAGTTCTTTTGCAATCTTCTATTTCATGACTGAATCTTTCATACACATTAAAATGTGAGGTTTGATTAAAAATCCTTAAAAAAAAAAGAAAACAACCAAATATCACAGTTGCTTTTTAATCTTTCTATCATAATTTTTCCTTCGCTCTACTATGCAGTCCTCTGTGGTCTACCAGCTTCTTAACCCCTAGTGATTAGTTTGCTGATGGTGTCACTGAGTCTCAGCTGGACCATAGTCAAATCAGGAGTCTTATTAGTGTGTGAGCTATTACCCAAAAGCAAAAAAAACAATCAATATCACGAAGAAGTAAAAACCTGAAATACATTACTTTGCAATGTATTAAAAAAAAAATAAAATCAGTGTTTGATACAGTGCAAACTAACGGAAATACCAAGACATTTCATTTTCAATTCTAATCCAGCAACATTTGTGTCATTAGAATGCTTCATACACTCTCTATGACCTTTATCTTCCATCTAGAGCCCAGATATCTGTATCAGGTGTAAGCATCTGGTTCACAGAGATTCTGTCCAACAGGCTTAAATGATCATCAGTAAGCTATGTGGAAATGCATGACACTGAGAGCTGGAATATAACAGCAAAGAAATACTAGATTTCAAACAATCTCTTACTATGTAGTCAAGTTCGGGGTTTATAGAGAAAGAAATGTTTTTCTGCATATTTACTGAAAATTAGAAATAAGAAAAACTGTGGTAGAAAGTGCACAGGAAAGTCAACACAGAGATATATCCAGGATATATGTGCGTAATAAGTGTCACATTCCTTGTGTTGAGCTATTGCTGAACAGGGGTCTACATCATAGGCCTTTTTTCTTTGGTAAACGGGAAACAGAAATGGACTTTCCCTCGTCTCAAATTCTCTTTTCAGGGGAAAGTGAATTTTGCATTTCATTCACATACCAGGCAGGAATTCTGTAACACATATGATTGGAAGCAGCATGACCTTCAATAAAAGAAATGCCAAAAAGCAATGGCAAAAAAAAAAAAAAAACTCTGACCACCTCCGACAGATGCAGCTATTCATGCAGAGGGGGCCAAACACTTTTTATAGTATATGGACATTATTTTTAGATGGTGATATTTTTAGTATAATGGGTTTTTTTTTTGGGTCCCTCATCTAAGAAATTTTACAAGACATTTCAATTTGTGTTTTCATTCAGCTGTAAGCTTTATCAGTCTGTGTCCAATAAATCTATACATTACCTTAAATTTTCACCTATTTCCAAATAGATATGATTTTTGACTAAAAGGTTGAAAACATTAGTAATCAGAGCACGACTGCTCCGTAAATCTTTGCAAAGTGCACAGGGAGAGAGATAACAGGGAACTTTCCCTAAATAACTCAGAGGCGGTGAGGTGGAATTTGCAAAGCTATAATTTCACGCAATTTGCAAATTAGAAGGAGATAAAAAGTTGAGCATTTATAGAGACTTTATTGAAAGCAATCAGAAAGAGTGTACACATATTTCCTGACATGCATAGGGAAGAAAAAAATAATTAAAAACTGATTTAATCCAAATGTTCCATACGTTTAAGAACATTGTCTCATAGTGAATTTATACTGTGATTAAATAAAGTGGGTTAGTACTTAAGTTTCCAAATGAACACAAAACAAAGTTCATTAAAGAGGAAAACTGAACAAATATCTCACTTCCATCCTGGGCCAGACCTGCTCCGGGTCGCAGCAGCAGGACTACTTTGTTTCCTCCAGCTTGAATCAGATCAATCGCCCGTGTATGGGAAATACCACGAGCCGGCTCTCCATTAATCTCCACTATCTCATCACCAACCTGTCACCAATGCAGAAAAACACCAATGAGCATCTAACATACTTTGCAACATGTTTGTTCACACAGAGCTGATCTAAATCTTATGTTGCGCACAGATCCTGATTTATAACACCCTATAGGCTCTTTCTTTCAGTGGTGACAAAACAACTCTGGCTAAAGCCTGAAGACATGTCAGGCTGCTTGGCTCTAATCAATGCTGACATTCTTTACCATCCTTTGAAATGCAAAGTCAAGACCAGGGATCACAGTCTGACAGGCTCTAAGGTTTGTCCGCACAAAGACCCTCATTCAAATCTTGATAATCTAATATTTTGTCTCCCTTTGGGAAATAAAATGAAGGGAGACAATATGCTGTCAGTTATGATACCAACTTCTGGGAAAGGATTTAGTCAGCTGCATGCTTTGGTAGAAAAAAATTATTTGGACCTTTCTTTTATTGAGGTTTATTATTTTATTTCCCTTTAATGGTGTTAAACAGACAAGGAATTAATGGAAACTGTAATTTCATACAGAAAACAGTAAAATCTTTTTAAAAGGTAATGTCATAAAAACATCCCCCTTACAAAGATATGTTAAAGGAGCACTTACATGGATTCTCCCATCCTGCTCAGCTGGTCCGTCTTCAGCGAGCCTCAGGATATACAAGCCCATGTTGTACTCGGTTCCCCCGCGCAAACTAAAACCAAAGCCTACGGGACCTCTCTCCAGCTCCACAGTCAGACAACCCTTCAACAGATGATAGCACTCAGAATGCACACACATGCTACACAAGATACATTCTAAATACTATGCATGCAGTTATTGCACAGCTTTGCAGTAAGTAGTGAGTTTTAATGCACTCAAAGGATTTAATAATTACCTGATTGGGTCCTGTCACACACAGTGTCCCCACCTCACCAGGTGGAAGAGTTTTATGGTCAGACCAGTTGACTGCATCCCTTTTGTCCTCCAAATCCAGGTTAAAACTAAACAGACAGTTAACAGTTATTTATTATTGCTCACTTCAAACTGAATGCATCAGCACACCAGCTAAAAAAGCTTTTATTGAAATTACAGCTTTGAATGTTCTGCTTGATGCCAGCAGGGAGGGAAACATTCATAACAGAATGTGGGTATAGTTATTTAGATAGGATTTATTATAAATGTACAACAGACTCTTATCTGACACACTCCTCAGTTCAGTGGTTACTTCCTTGCATTTTATAATCCCTCTGTGTTGTTTTGTTTGTTAATTGGGTTTTGTTCAGGTTGACATCCCAGGGATTATTATAACAATATTTCTGAGAAACAATAAAACCACAAATGTATGTAATTTAATTTATAATGATAATTTTCTTTTACTTTCTCCTCTACCTCATAGGTCCAAAGCGTGTCTGTGAGCAGAGAGTAAAGTTTTAACTCTTTCCTTTGGTTTCTTACCGTTCATCTTGCAGAGCTGACCTTTGTCCAATGGCCCTGTGTTGAAGAGCTGGACTCTGTTTAGCAGAACTTGCTCCTGATGGGGGGCCCTTGTACTCTAAAATATATAAATATTACACTGATCAATGATTTCATTTCGTAGTCATTTATTTCAAACAAATGTTAAAAGTAAAAACAGAAAGGAAAATAACATAAATAATCATAAATTTTGGTTGTACTCATACATTGACTTTTAAAATGTCTGTCTTCTCTTAGATATTAACTCCTCTCTCTGTAACAAATCAGTTTTTTCATATTGTATTACTAGTTCCTTACTTTGATCATGAATTGTGTAGTTTTAAATAATGCAAGCTCTCAAAATTTCCATATATTTGATAAAAAAAATAATGGATGTTCGTAATATCCCATTTTATGTAGCATTCTTATTATTTTTCTTTTGTATTACGTACAGTTGCAGTACATCAGTTTAAAATGTATTGTCGCAAACTTCCACAAAATAAGTCAAATACATTGAAATGAGAATATTATATAAGATAAGCACAGATTTGTGGTCCAATATAAATCCTATTCGCCTGGAAAAAAACAACACTTCTTTGCTAGTCTAGATTTTACTTGGCAGATGATGAAACAGCGTGTTTTATAATAACCTCATCTGCAGAGTTTTTAAGACATACCCAGAAAAACAGCCTGATACTATAAAGAAAAAGCTGAAGAGAAAACAAAGAGTGGAATAGCTTAGTAAATCAAATGATCCATGTTCAGGCTTATACACCAAAGCAGTTCATAAGGAAACTGATACAAGTTAAAACTTCCTGTGTCAGACTGGTGTTAATAGTGGGTATAACAACATCTGAGCTTAAAAATGAGTCACAATGAAACGTATTATGTGCACGCCGTCTTTAAGCAATGGTAATAGCATAATGCTATGAATGACAAGTCTGTAGTGAGTTTGACTGCAGCCTCCCCCACTGCACACTGAAAGGTCCTTGAACAAGATTCTGGCCCCTCAGTTTGCTCCTAATCTGCAAATCAGTGTAAGAGGTTGCATGTGAATGGGTGACTGCGGCTTCTAGTCAAAAAGCTTTTCTAATGGAAAGCATGATTAAATAAAAGGATTATTTGAATTTCTTAAAATAACTTATTACATCCAAATTACATCTTACTTTAAAAAATCCATTTATGTTTGAAAAAGACCAACACAACTCTAAGTGTATTACAACAGCATAACATGGTAAGTGCCATTCATGACTACGGTTTAAAAGATATCCTTGGTCTGCTGGAAAAGTTTAGCTCCTTATTGATTAAAACTCAACTAAAAAGGCCCACTATATAATTTTAGAAAAAATAGAGCAGAAAGCAAAAACAATTGTAGAAATGTAAAAAGTTCCAGGTTGCAGAGTGTTGTTAGAGCTAATGCAGCAGTGCTAACTTTGTAAGCTTCAAAAATCCTCCTACCAATCAGATTGATAATAAGCAGCATCCATCCATCCATCCATCCATCCATCCATCCATCCATCCATCCATCCATCCATCCATCCATCCATCCATCCATCCATCCATCATATATCATTATAATAATCTATCATATAATAATTATATATATATATATATATATATATATATATATATATATATATATATATATATATATATATATATATATATATATATATATAAACATATTAATTAATTAGCAAAACTATTAGCATATAGACATCTTAATTAGCTGTATCCCTATTATTATTATTTGATTTCTTTAAACATGTCATGATTTAAAATGGAAAACATTTTTCTATTACATTCACACACTATCATAATTAGCTTATTTGTAAAAAAATTATGTCCCACTTCTTTTATGGATGAGGTAAAGGTTAATTTTTGATTTTCTGAATACCTTGGTTTGAAATTGACCTTAGAATTTGATTTTAATATATGTAGATATTCTGATTAGACGAAAACTTGATTACCTTTTAAAACAGAAAAACCTACATCTAATTTCCAAACTAATGATTAGAAACAGACTCAAAAATGTGATTATAACAAACAAAAGTTATTATGGAGAGTACCCACCGTCCTCAGGAACCACGGTGAGGGTGACGACAGTGCCAGCTTCTTTGATAAGCTGAACAATGTCATTGTGAGAGAGCTCAATGATGGAGCGGCCATTGACTGCCGAGATACGATCTCCAACATGGAGCAGGCCGCAGCGATCAGTCGGACTCCCTTCAATGATACGTCCAATTTTGTGAGGGATAACTGAAACGACAGATATTAAGAATACTGAGGTATTAAAATTCAGCTCAAGTATCTATTTTAGATTTATCAAGATCAAATTTATTTTATTGGGATTTATATTTGCATTTTCTATAATTATGTGTTTAGGTTTCAGAAATGTAAACGCACAGGTTTCAGATTTTTACAGATTTTTCATTAAAAAACACAAACTTGGAAGTTGGATCCTTACCTCCATAAGGGGGTTTGCTCTTGGATGTGAGGATGACAAAGCCAAAACCCTCATTCTCCCTGCGGTGGAGTGTGATATCGAAGGACTCGTGATCCAGTGCGCTGGGCATAGGTAGGCGAGGTAGCTTTGGAGAACCGTTCACCAACACAGGAGCCATTTCCTGAATTTCTTCATCTGTTGCTTCTGAAATAAAAGAAAACAGTTTGTTGTTTGCAAAAAAATTGTAGTTTGCATTTTTTTTTGGTTCTATTTCACCCTTTTTTCACAAAGTGCCATATTCAATCCAAACATAGTCAAGGTGGTGAAAAAAATTGACAAATTTGTACTAAATCTCAAATCAATTGGTGTGGCTTCGTATTAACCTCTGTAGATGACCTTTCGACGAACAGTCAGCATGACTTGACCGTTACGAGCCGCATTGGTCATGAGGTCCAACACCTGCTTGTGTGAGCGACCTTTGACCATCACTCCGTCGATGCCGATCAGCTCATCTCCGGCTCTGAGGCGACCATCCTTCTCAGCAGCTCCATTGGGCACGATGGCCCCGATGTAAACCTGGGGAAACACATTCTGATATGGGGTTAATTACTGAGAAGTGGCCAGAGAGAAGGCAGACAATGCTGGAGCTATAAATAAAATGGGACAACAGAAAGTTTCCCGTTTCCACCACTAATTTGTCTTAATTTGACTCCAGTAAAGAAGATGCTTTGCTTCTAACTGTTAAAGTCAGATAAGCAACACAGCTTCACATCAACATGCATTCAAGAAATCCCTTTTTCTTACTAAGAGGTTTAGACTGTAACAATTTCATTGTATCTGAATTATTCTGAAACTCTTTCATACCAGTTAGTTTTTCATGTTTTTTTTTTATGGATTTTAAGTTGCATGACCTAATTTTAAGGTCAACTTAAAACAATGATTTCTTATCAAAAAGGTGCACTGTTTACATTTTAGTAGTGTTGCACCGATACTGTTACCAGTATCAGGCAGGGCCCCGATTCAGCACTAAAATGGTGGTATCGATTTTTGTATCGGCGAGTACCAACAAATAGCGCACTGATACAATTTAGAGAGCCAGATATTTATTCAACTATTGTCACCCATTCCAGGTAGGCAATAAAAGTTCTACTGGATTCACTTTGTATTAGTCTTTTTCCTGCTTCACAAAGGTAGGCAGCAGCTTGACATGATGGCAATTATTTTACATCCAAGTAGTATGTAGTTCTTCATAACACACACACACCCACACATCATTTTCAAACAAATGGTATAAATGGCTCAGTGGCGCAGTGGATAGCACTGCTGCCTTGCAGGAAGAAGGTTTTTTTCCCGGCCATGGGGTCTTTCTGCATAGGGTTTGCATGTTCTCCCTGAGCATGTGTGGGTTCTCGACCTGTCCAGGGTGTACCCCGCCTCTCGCCCGTAGACCGCTTGGGATTAAGCGTGTAAATAAAAAAAAATGGATGGGTATCGGTATGGTTTCAGTATCGGTCAATACTGCACAGCCAGGTATCGGGGCCAAGAAATGGCATCGGCGCAACACTAGATTTAAGATAACTAGATTATTGCTCTATTAATACATGTTTGGTCATACTTCATAAAGGGTAATTTGTGAAATGTATGCTATTCAAAGATATATACATTTTTAAAAACATAATTGGCTGCAAAGTTTTGGATTCAGGACACACCTCCACTTTTCAGGCATAACATTTTGACCACCGGTGTTATAACTGTTTTGAGGCTTTCTGCTGCTAAAACAGGCCTGACCCATTGAGGTATGTCATCCCATCCCAGTTATGTTAGTTTGGACTGATATCTGGAAAATTCTTGGACCCCTAACTGTTGTTTTTTTCTATATGGATGTTTTCATCAATTTGCAGAAAGAGGCCACAGCTGTCAGGAAACTGCAAGGTGGAATCCATACAATATAAAAAAAAAATGTGACTCATCAAAGGCCACTTTTTTAAATTCCTCAGTGATTGATTGATACTCATGTCTCCGTTGTTGCTCTCTTTTGGTGGTATACAGGGTTCTCCTAGATGATCTGCAGCTATTCAGCATCATGCAAACACCCCATAACATGATGACTATGACCTCCAGTCATCACAATGAGGAGCTTATTAGAGTTGCAATAATCTTAAGCCTTCACATTTTGGTAGAGGTTGTTCTTCTGACACAGCAGCTTAGAGGTCATTTACCATTCCAATATAACTCACCTACTTCAATAAAACGATGAAGAAATAATCATTGTTATTGCTTAAGTGGTAATTATGGGTATCCTGATCAATGTGCGGTGAGAGTCCTTATGGTAGTAGCAGTCTTTGTTTGGAGTATTTGTTCTATTAGAGGCCCAACATGTTTAAAAATATCTATTTAATCTGTTGAGGTTTATACAGTAGCAGACATATAAACAATGCCTCTAAGATCCACAATGCAATTAAAATCACAAAATTTGTTTCATCCAATTCTTTCTTTAAAAACCTTAAAACAAAAGACTGCAGCTACAAATACTGTCAACAGCTCCTATCAGTTTCAATACTCTTTACTCAGAGTAGGTGAGTTTTATGGACTTACTGGCTGTTGTGGACCTTCTCCTCCCAGAACTCGAAACCCGAAGCCCGTTTCAATGTCTCTCTTCAGAAAAACATCTATGTCTTTGGTGTGAGGCTCTGTGGAAGAGAGGAGTTTTAGCGCTACCTTTATTCAGTGTTGAAAGAATGTTAAAAGCAGCATATATCTGTCAACACTCACGCCTGCTCTCCAGCAGGGCTTTGGACTTCAGGTACATCTCTGAGGCCTCTCGCTTGGGGGAGTCAGAGGAGCGCAGTGTGCTCGTGTTCGAATGGTAAGGCAAAGCCTGGGGAGTCGCATCTGCAATGGCGTCTAAAGTCTCTGTGCTGGACGTCATTTCCTGCCGCTGACGACAAATACATAATCGTTATCTCATGCTGATTTATGCTTGGCTATTCCATGAAAGGATAAGCTCAATGCATACACTTCTTTTGTATCATTGTCTTTTTTGTATCTCAAAAAAACATTTAATGAAAGTCTGAGCACCTCGTTTTCTTTGACAAGTGTCTAAGCATCACACAGCGTTGGATAACAAAAGCTGGAAAGGTCACTTTTAATAACGTACATCAGTCCCCACCTCCCACTCCGTCCTAATATTCCTTCTATTGTTTCTGGGGGTAAGTAATAGGATCCTACAGAGAAAGTGAAGATTTCCCCGAGGCTGTGATAGGCCTTCTCAGCATGAAAAGAGAACCGTCTTTATCTAAAACTGTTGTATTAATAACACCTCCAAAACTAAACAGGCTCATCCAATCCTCATTACCCCTGCAATCCCCAGACAATAGACCAAAGAATATGAATAGCAAAAGATAGGTAATTAAGACTGTTTTTGAAAGCAGACAAAAGAAGGCGGTCTGAAAGATAATCAATATTCAAATTTATTGCTATGATTTAATTCAACTCAGCAGAGGATTAGTGGTTAAGCTGAAGGACAAAATCTTTTGATTTCAAATTGAAGTATATTCCCCCACAGGGAGAAACAAGTAAGGAAGATACAATAATTCACTTCTACTCACAGGCTTCAAAGATTTCACAGGAGATGTCTGACCTGTTGTAACAAAAAGACAGACAAAAAGAAACATGTTAAAATCTATTATGTTCCTATTTGAAACAACATAAGCTCCAGCAGATGGCACTGTCTCTCTGACTAAGACACAGCGGCAGGAAGTGTAAAAATAAACCAGTGAGCTACTTAAAACTCAAGAGCTGTCTTCACTAAAGAATGCTCCATTAGGGAATATTGAGCCATCCATAAGATTAAAGATACATATGGAATATAGTGTTAGTTCATCATATTCTGTGCTGCAGCCCAACTGTATAGCTGAGAAAGCAGGTAATGGCTTTTGTGTTTAATGCCTATAATTCCACGGCTGATAATTCTTCCCTTTGCTTTGGAGCACACCCACATGTTCCATCTAAAGCACTCAGATAGTTCCCTATAGAACATCTCACACAGCCCAGCGCTCTTCCCCCATCCTCCTCAATTCTCTGTATTAATCAAGTTAACAAATACTTGCAACCCTCAGGCCACATGATGACCAATTGGCCTGATCTGAGGTTAATGGAACCTGATGCACTGTAACGAGGGAGATATTTTCATGCATCACCATTAAAATTCCTAACCCAACATCATCACCAAAAACTGAAAATGAAACGTTTGCTTTCCACCCAAACACTCCCTACTGCGCCCTACTGTCACCTCCACCCAGCTCTCTGATCTTTTTGTTTTAAGCAAAACTCACCAACAATAAACACACAGTGCAAGAGGGAGCCTCCCATAAGCTACAGGCCATTGTCTAATTAGGGTTTAGGATGGCATTAATTCTTTAGTCTGGTGAAGCCAAGCCCATTTATGCTTCAACAGTGGTAATCATGCAGTGGAGCAGGACAAAACTATGGTGGCACAGCAGTAAGTGTTAGTAGTATGGGTGTTTGGACAACAAGGGAAGACAGTTCAGGCATAGCTTGGGGCATGGAGGACCCAGTGGACCTCCCCTCCTTAGCAGTTTAGCCGTGGATCTTTTAGAGGCCACGGATAAAGAGGCATGCAGAGATCCCCTGCGCTCTGTTGATGATCAAAGCTAATCGGGGTTCAACAACTTGCACAGCGTGTCCCTCAGGCGGCTATGGCGAGATGTAGGAGACATTTGAAGGGTGCCTCCCCTTCTCAACACTGTGGAATCAAGCGCTTCTCCACACTTATGTAATTCCCTCTCTCAGACTTGTACCTTGCATTACGCCTCTTTTACAAGTTGCCATAAACAGGCAGAAAGAGTTGAGCTGTATGGAGTGAATGTTTGAGAAATACTTGCGATGCGCCATCGGGATATGTAAAGCATTGGCAAGAAATTAAACTCATGAACTGGCTTTGAACAGCATCTACAGTAGCTAGAGTGGTGAACTTGGACTTATCCAGCAAAAACTATTCAGCTTTTCCAGTGGAAGCTTTAAAACCCACTGCAGACATGGTGTCTGCAGTGGGTTTTAAAACATGTGATATCACTCAGTGTCCCTAAACTGGCCACAGCACAACCTCACCTCCCATCAGTATCAGCACTCTGACCTCACCTCCAAGCATCACTGTAGAAGTAGTTTTAACAACTGGTGTAAATAATGTGAAAAAACAGAAAAGGAAAAAGATGAATGTGCAAAAGGTAAAATGAATGATATAATTACAAGAAAAGCCTGTTTATTACACATCAGGGATTATGGATCAGTGTGACTACACCATACTTTATTAAGCCATGTTCCCTATGCTGAGTGGAAATACCCTTAAAATTTGTTTCAGTAATATAAGAACACAAAAGGTATATTTTAAGGTAAAATCCGAAATGCAGAATCGATGCAATTTGCAAGAGACATATTAACTCCAATGAACAGATAAGAAGCATATGTCAGAAACCATGGGCATAAAATTACATATTAGCACAGAGTTTCACTGGAAAGATACATCTTGCATCATTTTTGTGTTTACACCATAAATATTATGGAAACAAAACAATGCAGATATTGCTACCTCTCTGTAAAGTGATAGCCAAGATAATACATTTTACTTAATTTTTTAGAAAGGAAAGCCTTTGAATAGCATTTGTGTTTATTGAAATGAAAGCTTAAAAGCTTTCATTTTACTGACTTTTGTTATTTTTAACATGTTTATATTGTTAAACACTGTGCAAAAGATTAAAACTATGTTTTTCTGGCAAAGAGACCCCATCCTGATCAATTTTTCTTTGACCATTGACTGCTTTCATTCTTTATCTTTTTGTTATCTTTTTATCTGTTTCCATTTACAGCTCTCCTGTCCTTGTAGACGTATCCCTCCTGTTGTTTCAGACACACACACAGTCAAATGACCTGTATGTTTGTGTTTTTGAAATGAGGAAAATTGAGAGCAGTGGATGAAAGAACTGACAGGGTATAGAAATCTATCTATAGCAGCTCAGGAGTCGTTTGTTAAAGAAAAAGGCCGGGTACTGAACTGATAATTACAATGAAAAATAATGAAGAAAAAAAAAAGAATCTGTCAAACACACCCTGTCAGGCTGTTCATGGTCGAGACCATAACTCATGGTCATTTTTAATGATTGCAGGTAAGTCTAGCTGCCTGGAGGCAAAATATAAATGACTTAAATTTCCTGTGCAGTGCAGAGCATTAAATAAAGATAAAAAAGATATCTAGATAGATGGAAGAGATGCAGAGATGTATGACTGTTTTACTCTCACCTCCTCTCAGTACCAGCACGTTGACCTCACTGCCCACAGGAAATTCTTTCAGGATGTCCACCACCTGTGCGTGACTAAGGGTTTGGACATTTTGTCTGTTGATCTCCTTGATAACATCTCCTTTTTGAAGCCCACGGCACCATTGGGCATCCAGGATCATCTTCACCTTCTGCCCCAGAGGACAGTCTGCAATGGCGAACCCAAATCCTCCAGGCCCTTTCACCAGTGGGACACTCACCAGCTCGGGCTGCAGCATACCCGTGGCCCCCTGCTCAGGCTGCCTCCCATTGGGCAAAGCAGCTACGACAGGCCGACCGCTGGCGTCTGTTGTTACGTAGTGAAGTTCCTGTGATGAGCCATGTAGGACATCACCTTTCACTAGCAGGGGTTGGCCATTAATGAGCGGCACAGCTGTCACCACTTCCCCACCATGGAGAGGCTGTGTGGCCGGTGGAGGAGGAGGAGGGGGTAGAGGGTCGTCACTTTCTAGATCTACATCCGGAGGAAGTGGGTACCCACGGCAAAGAACCATGTCCACGTATTGGTTGATGGGGATCGATTGAAACATCTGCACCACCTCTGGATGAGTCTTTCCCAGCACACATGTCCCATTAATTTCAACAATCACATCCCCTGTGACAAATGAGAAAAGACAAAAAAGAAATCAAAATATATTTTATTCATTCTTAACCCAGACACCAACTGTTCACAACTCAAAACCTTTGAATTACCGTCATCACATGCTTCCCCCAGAATCTCATCACCACCTACCCTTTTCTCATTTCATCAATTTCCTTTACTGCTTTTATTTCTTTTTATCTCATTCAGTCATGTTTTATCCCACCTACACTTTCTACATTGCACGCCTGAGCAGTGCTCTTGTTACAAATGAAAAGAACTGGAGAAAAAAGATTTCCGCCACATAATACTATTCAAATAATTACACACACCACACACCTTACCAGACTGACAGCTCACAGTGTCAAAGTAAAATCAATGTCACTGTAATCACGTAATGCGTTTGAAGACAAACATTTCCAAAGTTCTTCATAACATGAAAAAATGGCTCCTTTTTTTCTGTTTTTTTTACTCAATCTCGTCCCAATTAAGGACATTAAATTTTTTTTAAGGGAAATTAGGCCTGCAGTGCTTTTTAGATATTCTGTTTTTATTTGTGATCTCCTTGATAAATTGTGGACACACTCTCACAGTGATTTGTTAGGCTACCCACCCCTGAAAATGTATAGCACTGTTCCATATCTCTTCTATTTATAGAAGAGAACCCTTCACTTTGGTTACCCTAAAGCCTTAGAAACAGCTCTGCACTCTGCCTGACAGATGTCAGGGACTTTATTCAACATCTTTTTTGGGGAATTTCCTTATACCAGAGTAAGAGTGATAAAGATGTGTTTTTTCCCTCTTAGTAGATCTAATATTCATTTTGAGAGTGCTGTTTGGAAAATTGGGGGTTATGCATGCATGAAATAAAAATGTAGTGTTAGAAAAAAAAAAAAGCCAGAGAAAACATAAAACATCCAATTTTTATGGAGAACAAAAGGGGACTTTTGTTTTGTAAAATGTAAGTTGTAATGTACTGTAGAATATATTTAGCTTATAAATATGTGAAAGTATAAAAGACGTATACTAAACTTAAAATTGTGTATCCTCTGCATAGTGTTAAAACAGACATTCTTTAATGTAAGATGTTGAGGCCGCACATGCAATAATAAGAAGGCAAAAACAATCTTGTTGCACACTGCAGAAATACCAGAAGAGCGGGAAAACCTGGATAACAAAAACCTCCCAGTATATGCATTACTGTATGTCTAAGAAATTTTCAAGAGTCTAACTTTAAAACATTTTCTGTACCAGTGTGGTCTTCCTGACAGCGACATTGCATTTTAATTTAAAGTATTTTCCCCTTTTGCCCTGTCTTTTGAAATGAAGTTGCTCACCAGATGCCATCTTGTTGTCCTGTGCTGCAGGGCCATCACTCAGCACATTTTTCACCTGGAGAAACTCATCTGTGCGGTCTCCTCCTATGATAGTAAATCCAAAGCCTTGGGAGCTTTTTTTCAGAGCTGTGTGGTACATCTCCCCCTTCAGCTGGTTGGGGTCTGCAGTGAAGCCGAGCATACTCCCTTTACCTGTGCAAAAGTTAGACATTTCACACTCATTTCTGATAATCAACCAGCACATAATAAAATAGTGAAGAAATGCAACCTCTGAACAGTAAAGCACTCCAACTGCAGCAACAAAAGATTAAAAAATTGACATTCCTCTTGAAATAATAAACAGTGTGTACAAAAATGTAATTATACGCATTATCTGAAAAAAAAAATCAACACATTAATCAGTCATTATCCAAATAATAGATGCAATGTATATTTAAACACAATAAACCCATTGACAGAAAGGTTTTTTGCAGCCATGTTGTAAAGAAAAGCCCACACACAGATGAGGTGACAAAATTATAGCTTTAGAAGCTAATCTACTTGCCTCTATTCATTATAAAACTATAGCGCAGAACGTGCAAACAGTACCTCTGACACTATCTAATTTAGCGTATTGTCCTTTTATCTCCTACTCTATTTAATAAATGGCTTAGGAAAAGTGAAGCTTTGAGACTGTTGTGATTGCAGGCTTTATGTAACTTGAGTCAGGAACAACTAAAGGTCAGCAGCAACATCAATAAGGACCAGCATCTCTGTTGTGGCATAAGAAATACACAAAATAGCCCACTCTCATTGGTTTGCATTAAGCTGCAGCTTCTCCTTATCTTACAGTTCTACACTTTGGATCATGAAAATACTGAAACGGTAAAACATCTGATTACTTTGAGGTAATTCAGTAGTAAAATACTGTTTTCCAACTATCAGCAACAGTTTCTTGAAAAGGTCAATACAAATCCTTCTCACATTCTGTCATGGTAAGACGGCATCTACTAAATTTATTTTGGGGGATTTTCAGGTGACACACCAACACAGAGAAACTCATGATTATGAGCGCGGTTGGGGTGATATATATTTTTTATATTTAATATTTTTTAACTAAAAACAAGAAGCAAATCAATAAAACAATCAAAAACTAAATGTGTATTTATTCCCCTGTTTTTTTGTTTTTTTTTTATTACAGCAGCAAGTTTTAGGGATTTTTGTCTCTTCCAGTTTTTCACCTGTAAAGGCAGATATTTTCTTTGCATAACAGTTCAAGCTTAGCCACATTAGATTGAAAACAGGTTAGTTATCTGGCTGCTAGAACGTACAACTATACATTCTAGCAGCTGCTTTTTGTGTTTTGCTAGAATAAAGTGAAACTCGGCAACATGTTGTAGTTTTTTAGAGGTATCCATCCAACATTTATATTTATTTTCATCCATTCAATGTTCCATCAACTCGGATCAGCTCTTTTTCCTGCAGAAAATGATTATCCCCATAGCATGATGCTGTCACCGTTATATTTTCACAGTAAGGATGGTGTGTTCAGAAAATTGTGTTCTTTTGTATGTTGGCAAAAATGTAACTTCAGTCTAAATTGACCAGAACAGATTATTCGATATGTTTGCTGTTTCTCCTACATGGCTAATGGAAACCTGCAAATGTTACTTGACAATGTTATTTTTAAACCATTTCTCTTTCACTAGTTTTCAGTGAAGGTTGGCTCTATGGACTGTACTAATAATACCTATTCTGTAGCTGAGTGAAGTTGATGAAATTGTCTGATTTGAAGAAGGTGGGGGGGCTGTTTGACCTTTGATGACCTCTAGAAACATTTCCTTATATCTTTAAAATGATACAGCACAGACGAAAATATTTGTCGCACAAACGTAGCACAAATGTTTGACACCAATTTCTTCGGATTTGAAGAAGGTGGGGGGGCTGGTTGACCTTTTCACCTTTACCCTATCATTAATATCTTCAAAGCCAAAGCAGCACAAACGAACATTTTTGCTGCACAAACCATCACAAACAGAGTCGAGTTAATTGACACCCATTGTGTCTGAATTGAAGAAGGTGGGGGGGCTGGTTGACCTTTGATGACCTCTAGAAACATTTCTTTATATCTTTAAAATTATAGCGGCACAAATGAAAATTTTTGTTGCACAAACCAGCACAAACGTTTGACACTAATTTCGTCTGACTTGAATAAGGTGTGTGTGTGTGTGAGTGTGTGTGTGTGTGTGTGTGTGGGGGGGGGGGGGGGGGGGTGTCTATTCTTCCAACTTAGTTAATCCTTTTTTTTCTTTTATTTAATTACTGATGAACAGTTTATACAGATATTGCAGTAAATTACATACAGGCTTAGTTTTCACTAATTAGGTGACTCTTAAACCTTGTTCAGAACATTACTTAAATAAATTAACTACTTACATTTACTCGGTATATCTCTAAAAAAGCTAATTCTTTTTTTAGGAACACGTTCAACTGAATCGGAGGCTCTGCGCCATCGTCTCTGCTCTCAGTCTGTGTTCAACGCATGATTAACGTCAACCCAATTTACAGATCCTCAGCCAATCGGCATCACTTATGACTCTAACTCAGTTCCCTGCTTGTCACTGAAGTAAAAATCTCTCCCCCTCTACAGAGTCTGATATTAAAAGTCTCTTTGATCAATCTGTAGTAACAAACTGCATTAGAATGCAGCATTACCAATATGTGAAAAGCAATTATTTTGATTAGTTTTCAATGGAACAACTAATGCACTTTTTAACACTCCCAACACTGCCATTAAAGGTAATACGTTGCACTGATTTCTATTTAAGGTTTCAAAGAAAAGGGCTGAAAACATATGCACGCCACACTTTCCAGATTTTTACTGCATATAAAGTAGCTGTTGAAAATCATGCACTGTTTCCAATCCAGCACTAAACTATACAGTCCTTGTGTGGCTTTATCTTATAAATCCAAATAAAATACATTGTTAGTTGCAAGGGGTTATGTATACTTAATATTGCAAACCTGCCAATTATAATGTCAGTTTGTGACTGAAACTAAATTAAATAAAAAGATTAAAAGAAGTCCAATTAATCAAAGAAAATACAATAATTCTACCTAAAGACTCTAAGACCAATGTGTTTTTTCCTGATAAGAGTACAGGCTCAGGTAGTTTACACATTCCTGCACAAACAACATGAAAGGATGTCATATCACTCCTCCCTCCTTCAACAAAACCCGCATTAGTCTGTCTTAAGCCCATCGCTCCTACTGAAGATGTAAGCTTGTATATAAATGTCATAAGTATAAGAACTAAAAGGCTGAAGAATTAAAGTTAATATTTGTTATCATGCTTAGTTTCAAATGTAATAGAAATAACAGAATTTGATGCATTTTTTGTTTTCTAACAATAAGTAGTAACAAAATAATTATATATGAAGACGTTATTATTTTAGACATTATAAATTAGAATTTGTGGATAAAATTAAATATTAGGAAAAAATGCCCTGTCTGAAAATCAGCTGTTGGTCTCTGGGAATTGTAAGCTCCATGTCCTTCCAGTTTGTTTTGGGTATATCTGTTCTCATGGCCTGAACCCACTTCAAATGATTGCTTTCCCATATTTAGTTATCAACTTCCTGTTCTGGCTGGTTTAAATAAGAACTCCACACCTCCCTCTCACTTCCCCTGCCTTTTATAAACACTCCATAACTTTCAGTGTGAGAGGAATTTAAATCAAGGCACTCTCAAACTCTCATATGGTTCATCAGGCTAAAAACGTCCAGGGCAGAGTGGCTTGAAGTGTAAATTATCACAGCCAGTGAGGACTCCAGATGTCCACCGCTGGTTTACGGATCAAGCATAGCTTATTTACATAATGACATTGAAATTGCTTGATAAACTCCAAATGAAATACTTCCCTATTGCTCCTCACAGGGAAACCTGAAACATGCATTTGATAACACACGTTAGAAAAAACAAAACATCGAGATATAAAGAAAGTCAACAGAGAAGGGAACAGAAGAAGAAGGTGGTGTGGCATGTGTGTGTCTGGAAGCCAAAAGAGGGTTTAAAGGCCTCTTGATTGGAATGTGTTGATTATAAACCAAAAGGAGATAAACAATAATGTCCACCTTGGCAGCCATGCTTTTTTATGCTGTTTGTGTGTAAGAGGTCAGAGTAGTAGTCCTTCTAAGACTTTATTGATCATACATACAGTATATCTAATGACAACTGCATCAGGTAGACCTTTTCATATATCAGGCATACCTTTTAATCAGCTTGTTATCCCAAATAAATAGACCATTTAATTGCAGGAACTCAGTACATTTTGGTATATAGATTTGTAGATGGACACTTGCTAAGGGTAGGGTTGACACCATCATTGAGAGAAATACCAGCTGACCTGCTCCCGTCAACACCTTTGTTTATAGATGTTGGAGCTTGGCCTGTTTTTTTAGTGTAGTCCTGTTTCTCTGAATGTGACTAACTCTCTTCATCCTCTGACATGGGGGCTGGCTTGGAGCTGGTATGCCTGTCTCTGGGTTTCCTGGAGAGGGCTGGTTGACAGTTGCCTTTTGTATCTCTGTGTGTCTGCTTCTGTTTCCTTGAACCCCAGTCGACCTCAGCAGATGGCCGCTCACACTGAGCTTGGTTCTGCTGGAGGTTTCTTCATGTTAAAAGGGAGTTTTTCCTCTCCACTGTCTCTACAAGGATTTTTGGTTGATTGCTGTAAGGATTCAAGGATTGCCTTCAAGTCAAAGAGTCAATTCAATCGGCTGATTTTCCTTAGATTTGAACAAATCTGAGTGGTTGAATCTGGTTGAATAGTCTCTGTAAAGTACCATGAGATGACGTGTTATGAATTGGTGCTACATAAATAAACTGAATTGAATTGAAATATAAAGTAAACATAATAAAAATAGAATATTTAGGTCACTTTGAATGTGGCATGCCTGTCCCAAATGGGTAACTCCGCAAAAAGATAAATTTTCACATAGTTTAGAAAGTAAAACGAATAATATAGGTTTGTCACAGGTAGAATGATATATTTCAAGACTATATTTCTTCTAAATTGTATGAGCCTATAATGGATAACAGAAAACCAAAATTCAACACATGAGAACATTTGAACTGTAAAAGATTTAAAGACTGGAAACTGAAAACGCCAGCACAAGTTTCTAAAGTCTGTAAACAGTCTATTAGTTAAGGTGAGTATCCTTCACCATCATGGGGTAGACTGCTGACATGACAAAAGTCCAGAAGTCAGTAATTGAGAACCTCCACAAAATGTTGTCACTAACCAGTGTTCTGTTCCTGCACCTGAATCACCATGTGACATTGCAGCTGAACCATTACTGAGAGAATGGCTCTAAGGTGGGTAGTTAAGGCTGCACAGAGGGCCTTTGGGGGCAGCATTCCCTTCACCTCAGACCTCTCCACATGCACTGCACTCCAACCATCCTATTTTTTGTGTGTGCATCCAGTTTTGCATATATAGCTTTGGGAATTGATGTCCCAGAGCTAGATGATAACTCAATAGATTTGCTTTCACAATTGTATTCTATTCTATTCTATTCTATTCTATTCTATTCTATTCTATTCTATTCTATTCTAATACCAACACTGTCTTTCACCAAATAAAACACTAAGGAAACTAAAAGCAGAAAAACAGATGAAAGGAAGATTGACCTGAAATCTTGCCACATTTTATTCCACCTGGAGCTTCATAGACATCCTCAAACAACATTTGGTAATAAAACTGGCAGAAGTTCTGCTAGAAATTTAACTTTTCCAGCATTTTGTGTTCATTAGATTGTCACAAGCACAGAGCAACGAAATAAACTCTCTGCATTTAACCCATCCCCTTGGGGAGCAGTGGGCTGCCATTGTGCGGTGCCCGGGAAGCAGTGTGGAGGTTATGGGTCTTTGCTCAGGGACCCAAAGTGGCAATTCGAGAGGGGCTCGATTTCAGAACCTCAGAATTCCAAGCGCAATGCCCTAACCACTTGGTTAGCATGAAGGGTCTTGCCTAAGGACCCACACTGGCTGGTAATTCCCCCCCAGCTGGGATACAAACCCAGGACTCCTGTTTGCGTACCGGTGAGCTCGCAGCTGGCTAACTCAAGTGGTAAGTCAAATTTCCATCAGCAGGTCATATCTCTGTGATACTTTCTGCTTAAGAAACATTTTATCTGGGACTGTTAGATGCGTGAAATTACTCTCCGGGGATTGTGCATGAGCTTGAGGTGCATGTTTATGTTGAAGTGGAAGAGAAGCAGTGTTTCAGAAGGAAAAATACATTTGCGGGCGGGGCAGCTTACAGGTCTTAAAAAAAAGTATATATATATATATATATATATATATATTCATGTTTTGATGTATACAACACCCTCCTTTTATTTATGGTATTTCTTTTCAGGATTGATAATTTCCCAAGAAAAAATGTGCTTGGACTTTTTTGGAACACTAGTAGTCTGTGTTGTGGCCTGAGGTGTAACCGCTGATCATAGCAACTGTCTGACAGCTCAGCAGGTTGTGTAATCAGTAATCAGCAGTGAGATGGCGGTTTACTCTGTCCCCATACACCTGAGCAGAGAGACGCCTGATTATGCTCAGCCTCTTTAACGGGATGTTCCACCAGCTGTTGACACAAGCACCGCTAAAAGGCAGCCTCCTCCCTCTGCATGCCTTCTTTTACATCTCTGAAACCCTGCCAGCACTAGGAGCCCATCTCGCTCCACACTGATCTGCAGCTTGATCTTCCGTTATACTTCCTTGTAAGAGAAAAATGCTTATATTGTTGCAAACTAAAAGACCTAACAACTTGTTTGTATATAAGGTTTCCTAATGACTGACATTCAGCTTACTTGTTTCTACCGTGTACTTAACTCTAAAATTAAGGTTTTGATTTAAAAAAATATCCTTATAAAAACAGTTCTATGACCATAGAAAAGAGTAAATTTTCCCGCGTTGCTCAATGTTGGTAGAAAACCATAAAAAAATACCAATTCAATCTAATTTGGTTCCAATAAAAATTTAAGATCGTATGAATTGAAATGATGGGCCGCTTAGTGGCGCAATGGGTAGCACTGCTGCCTTGCAGCAAGAAGGTTCTGGGTCTTTCTGCATGGAGTTTGCATGTTCTCCCTGAGCATGCATGGGTTCTCTGCGGGTACTCCGGCTTCCTCCCACAGTCCAAAAAACATGACTGTTAGGTTAATTGGCTTCTCTAAATTCTCCTTAGGTGTGAGTGAATGATTGTTTGTCTCTATGTTGCCCTGTGATGGATTGCAACAGCGACCTGTCCTCTTGCCCATTGAGCACCCCTCACGACCCCACTTGGGATTAAGCGTGTAAAGAAAATGGATGGAAACATAATCATTCTTTAAAAATGAAATTTAATAAATGTGTCAGAATTTTATCCGTTTGCAACATTACCCAGCCCCCTGAATTCTCTATTTAATTTAAACAAACTGAGCAGCAAATGGACAGAGTCTCATTATGCTTCATCTATTTTGTTAGAGCTGTTACATTATGTCATTATCAGGATAAAAGTAACATACAGATAGTAAGGAATCAAAAGTACAAATATCTTCAGTCAAATGTAGTAAGTAAAAGAAAAAAGTCATTAAATATTCTCAAGTAGAGATACCAAAATAGCTGCTTAATAACAGCCGCAAAGTAGTTACTAATTGATACCTCTGATCAAAGGAGAATTATATTGCTGTCACTTTCTAAAAAGAGAGAAAAAAAGGAATTAAAATAAAAATGACCAAAATGAAACAAAATTACTTCTCTTCCTTTCTAGCTTAAAAAGTAAAAATAAAAAGTCAAAGACGTTTACTCATTAAAGAATTAAACTAAAATGCTTCATGCATAAAGTAGCTCTTACCATAAAAGCTACAATTAGCAGTTTGATCATCTCAGGTGAGTCGAGTCTAACAGGAATTTCTACATTTTTTGTAAAAGTGACAATGGCAGTGCACGTTTGAACTTGTGCTAAACTGCTTATTAGTGGACATGAATGTGCACGTCTTAAACGGCGAGGGTGTTTTCAGGGCTCAACAGAAAAAGTTGAAGAGTGCAGAATCACACAAAGGTCTCAGGATAACTTGTTAGACATTATTCTAAAAGCACGGGCATGCTTGAATAAGATATTTTAAATATTAAAGATTTGTTTAGTCGTTATTATTTTAAGTGTATTTTAATATAAAAGAAAATTGCAGCAGCAATTACAAGTTTTCACAAAAGATCATCCAAGCATCTTCCATTATGCTAAGCTGGATGCAGTATTTTACATATGTATCATTTACATACTTTGCCATGGTTTATATTTCCCTCAGGTGTTTTAGAGAGAAATACCTTAGCCACTGTTAAATACAGGCTAAAGGTAATGAGTCATAATAGTCGGTATAAAACTGCTTGTATAAGCGACATTTGTGGAGTAATTATATAAGGGTGCTGTTGTGTTTTTGTTTACTTCAGCAGAAAAAAAGAAGACAGCAGGTGGAGATTGCCTACCAGCATCAGCCCATGTCAAGTCAGAGTAAAAAACCTCAAAGAGCTAAGAGTCAGATAGCAGTAAGCATCAGAACCTAATCCCCTTAATTTGTGTCACGCCCCACCTCTGAAAATATTCAAGTTGGTCTACCTGTTTTTTTAAATCAGTCTGCTTACAGACAGGGAGACTGGAGCAAGCTTGAAACCGCACTGGGAATGGACATAAAATTCATGTAAATGAACTTACTTGCCTTTATTATAAGCAAAGTAAAATGTAGTACCTAGAGTCTAGGTACTACATTTTGAGAGAGTACGGTGCTAAAACAGTTTTTAGTTCACTGGTATCGTCATGTCATGGTATCATCTGCACAATCCGAGACTGTTTAAAGCCATGCTTGCAAACATCTGGCTTTTTACTGAAGGCTGTAATAACAGAAAAAAAACCCTGACAGAGTATATCTCTCATGATTGTTGCACTTAGCAAATGCAAATAAACAAATATAAATAGAGGAATAACTGTTAGAATTTGAGGAAAAATGTTAACCACCCCAAAGTTAACGATACAACAGAACTAAGATCTTGCTATTGATTAACTTAGTTGTTTTGTGTAGATTCTTGAATGTGTCTTTAAACATTTAGATGTTGTAACTGAATTGTAGGCTTTAGGTTTTCATGCAGGACTGGCATGCCCCATTTACACTACCCCTCTGGAACCGATCCGTGCTGAGTTCGGACCCATCTTTCATCAGTTAACCGTGTTGAGCTCGGTTCGTACGACCATTTACACATTACACTAGCAAGGTTCCTTGCCTCCTATCGGCGGTCCACAACATTACAACTCTTAAGGTGGAACGCAAGCAAAAATGGCACCGCCCATAATCTTCAGGAACATTCATGTACCTGGATAGTGTCTTCCACCTAGATTTCAATGAGAGCCTCGGCATCTGTATCATCCTAGGTCCACGCGATTTTGATGCCATTTATTTTTAATAGGCGGAGAAGAAGTTCATGTTGTGAACAGGTTAAGAGATCTGTGGATTACAAAGCCGGACAAACTGGAAAATCCAATTAATGAGTCAGATGACTGTAAATAGGAGATGACACGGTCTGTGGATCAGCATTTAGATATGGACTCATTTTGGTTCTCCTTATGTTCTCTCTTTAGGTTTTATTGTAAAGAGCATCCTATAACTATTTTCAGTGATTCCCTGTTAAAATTATCCAAATTGCTTTTCATGCAAATTGCCACAAATTGAACTTTATGTGCAACTGTGGAGTTCTACTCAACTACTAAAATCCTAAAAAAAAAACATTGTATTTTGTTTTTTGTCTGCCAGATAATCATTAGTCTCCCATTTGATTGGCCATAACAGTAAAACAGTTTCTTAGTTTTTTTGTCATAAAAATCTTGTATTAGTTTTGGGTTTTTCATTTTCTGAAAGTCATAATCTTTAAAGGAAAAATAAGAAAAATATAGTAATATATATCCACTTGCATTTAAAAAATCTATACAAGACACGTTTCACTGTTCAAACCACATTTTTGCCATAAATGAGCTTTCTGATGTTTTCCCTAATTTGTTGTAGGTGTAGAGGATGTAGAGACATGAACTTATCCGCTGTTGTTACCTTGAGATGGTGCAGCTGCAGCTTGCTTGGTTGCAGTCGTGTCTTTGTTTAGCTTCTTCTTTGCCTCCAGGACTGGGTTTTCAAACTGGGTCCTCTGATTGATGTGGCTAAAACAAACAGATTTGCTGTTAAATCAGGAGGGATTGGTAAAGCAGAACCAAAACATCTTAAAAACAGCTCACATACAGTATAGGAACCAACTAATAATGTAGGAAATGAAGGTCAGACAGGGAGTAGCATCTTTTCCTCTACAACAAGCTAAACATCTTGTTGCCCCTTTGGCATACAAACCAGGACCATTGTTTCAAAGGAACTCATTTTAAGCTAAACACTGGCAGCTACAAACTCCATCAATATGACATCGACTCTCTGTGTCCAGAGTGTCGCGTTTCCATCTCTTGTCATTTCTACCTTGAAGGCTTTTATCTGCAGCCTGAGCAATAAAACAACAAAAGCTTTTCCTGCACTCATTTCGTTACAGCAGTGAGCCGCTCTTCCTTCAGTCCTTATTCTACTGCCTCAATGTGTTCTGGTTAAGAATCTCTCTATTCCATTCCCTCCAAATGGCTGTAAAACATAATTGCTATTCCACTCATATCCTACTGTGATGCTGAATGCAAACACATATCACACCCATGTAAGCAGCATACACATTCAGTATTGTTCTATAATCATAAACTGCCATGAGATAGTGAGACCCCATGCGATATTGTGCTTCCGGGCAGCTTCACTTTGCCACTAACTGATAAATCAAAGGAAAATCCTTATAAACCTCTTTCAGGTAAAATATGTCTCTCTGTGTGTTATATAACTTGGCACCTTCTCACCCAAGATGATGCTAAATCCATTTGTTTTATTTTTAGACAGAACAGATTCTTGCCGGTCTGCTGATAATAAACACAAAGCAGCTAAATAGTCACATTTGCTCTGATGCTTCATATACATCTGAGTGAAAAATCACAAAGCACTAATTCAACTTACTCCACATAGTATGTGCCGTATTGTGGATCATCAATTTCCTCCCAGCCGTAGGGTAACTCTGGAAAAAGAAATCAATATGTCAATTCTTTTGTGAGAAATGTCAGTAACAAGCTGAAAGGACAAACTGAATACAAAGACAGAATATTTATGACTTATCTCGTAATTACAACCTGTAGTTTAAAGTCAGCTACAATCATACGATGTCAAATAATACATTGATTACTTTCATACTGTCTAACAAGTAATCATACACAGTGCAGACATTGTATCAGACTTAAAGTTTTGTGTTTTTAAGTCTTGTTATTTCAAAAATCATTCAAAACTGAGTTCAGAGTTTTGGGTTCCCTTCCAAAAGTTTCTCTCAACTTTGAACTAAAATTAGACCAGTTTTGTCGGAAGGTTGAGATATAAGTTAATCAGTTTTTTTAGGCAGTCTTACTGGCAAAAACCTTTTAAACATTGCCCCTCAAATGTTCTGTATGCTGGGATCAGGATTTTGAGACAACCAAGTCTGAACTTAAAGTTTGGTGTTTTGGAACCAGTCTGAAACTAAATTGGTGTTATTATTATTATTATTATTAATATTATTATTATTATTATTATTATTATTATTATTATTATTATAAGCGCCATTATCTAATTTGAAGAGCCAAGCTTTAAAGGTATAGTAGAGGACTATACATTGAAAAGACCCGTCATCTCCACTTTAAAAGTAAAATACACATGCACAACCCTGCACCCATTCCCGAGAGGGAAAGTCCATGCTCAAGCCCATTTCTCCTCGTGCACGCTCTGTTTAAAAGTGACTGTTTGCATCGCTCATGCAAGCTTCCTTTCGTAAAGATTAGCAATTTTGCCAATATGTTAGAATCACCACCGGTTAGTGAAAATGGGGATGAGCATGTAGGATGGCCCTACATTAACATATCACCAGAATAATTGACAATTAGGAGGACCCCTTTCACCAGGAAAAATCCCATCCTCCACTATACCTTTAACTTTCTGGTTTTCCACAGGATGCTGCCACTCCTGTACGTCACAGTTTGGATACTGTTGAAAGATCCCCCTCTTTGTGCTCTCAATTTAATAATAGACAAAATGGAAAAAAATGTTTTATCATTTAACTGTATAATTATCTAAAATATTAAGGTACTTGTCAATTTACAAACTATAATAGGGTTTTTAATGCTTCTGGATTTACCTATTCTTCCCTTTTAAGTGGTATCAGCCTATATTTGCTTAGGACCCATTTTATTTTGCATAGTCACTCCAAAAAAGCCACCACTGGACTTTTTTTCCCAACATTTTTGGAATGACTATGACCTGGATGACATTCCCCAACCACTTCCATCCAGCATCTTCAGTTGTTCTTCTGGTTCTGGTGCAAATACAGACATCCACACCAAAACTGGAATCTCTGGGGCACAAAAGCTGTCTTTTTCCTGATTTCTAGTATTACTGAGGCTCTATAATTCCTATATTTTCATGTAACTTCTTAAACAGATGAAAATAGCAGTTCAGAGTGAAAGCCAAAATTTTCTTTGTGATATTTTGTCATATTTCTTAGATTTCTTTCTATTATGTCACGTAAACATTGCTTAAACAGAACTAATGTTTAATATGTCGAATGTTGTAATGTCATGGTATACTCTGGGCTATTTGAGACTGTTTAAAGCCATGCATGCAAACATCTGAGGCTGTGATAACAAAAAAAGAAAAAGAAAACCCTGACAGAGTAAATCTGTCATGATTGTTGCACTTATCAAATGTAAATAAACAAATATAAATAGAGGAATAACTGTTACAATTTGAGGAAAGTTAATGATACAAAAGACTTCCTGTAGAAAATAAACAAATGAATGTTAAACTCGCCTGCGTGTTCACATTGAATTATTGCAGAAACATAAATGACACATCAGAGTGTGCTGATGACTTGTGGCATTCGCTGGTTGAAAACGGTGCCATTAGGAGACAGTTTTCTTTTTCTGAAAACAGCTACTAGATAAAATGCTGCAATTTGAACTCACCATGGCAACCTGAACTCACAGCAGATGGACAGTTGATAATCAGCGTCTCTCAGCTATGTTTAGCGTACACAGAGTTCAATTGTTTTTAGGTGAAACTTTTAAGCACAGAGCAAAAACAAATGGGTAATTCTTCTTATCAGAAATCCCATCTCCCCCAGGTATGAAGGCTACCTCTTTTATTCTCTAGATTTAAAAGATTAGCATAAAAAGCTACACTTATGTAGAGTGCATTTGTGTGGCTTTTAATAAACAATACTTCACTGAATGATACTCATCATTTCCTGTTAAAAATATCAGGCAGACGGAGAGAAAAAGGGGGAAAAAAATAACTTAATGCAAAAGAAAGCTGGAGGAGTTGCCTTTCACGAGCACCATGTAAGTTTTGTTGTAAAAATCCATTAAAAACTTGCTGAAGGGTCCCACTCTGTCAGAAGAGGCCACTCTTGGTTTCTGTCTGCACTTAAACCAACATTATCATCCTTAGGATACAAAAGAACCAAATATATGACATTCCTTTAGGGAGATACATGCTTCCAGATTTCATGCTATTTAGGTCAAGATCCTAAAGAGTACTTTAAGAGGTCATGAGATTTCTCTATTAAGTACCGATATTGTATTATTATATTAAAATATTAGTAATGGATTATATAAATATGCATAAGAGCATTTAGACAGATATTGGCTACTGCATTTTTCAAATCCTATAATGGTTTACAGATTATAATATGCTTGAATAGCACACAACATACCGCCATCCTCGCACTTCTCTGGGGGCTTTGCCTTCTTTGCTAAGCGGGGGTCCAACCATGTAGTTGTTTTCGTATTGTGACTGTGGAGCACAAAAGCAACAAACATAAAATATCAACAGTATGGACTCATTCCAGAGAGGATATCAGAGCAGATGCAAAATAGTTGGATTCCCCACTAAAATATGGACAAGAGTTGGTGCCCTTAGCACAGGGAAACGCACTGGTCTCTTTTAAGCTTCCATTGTGTTTATGGTAAGATGGCCTTTTCTTGCAAAAAACAACTAAATCCTCTAAATGTGAAACATGTCTTGTTTATCCTCAAATGGATTAGACATCTGGAGTGTGTAATCAACAGGAAAATCACAATAGTCTTCTGATATTTCCATAGATAAGCAGCTTATAGTCCAGTTTGATTGAAATACGATTGAACACTAATAACTACGCTTTAGAAATAGATGTTTACTTTTTAATAACATCAAAAGAAAATAAACTGTTTTTTTTTTTTTTTTTACAAAGAGCTTAAAACTTATCTTCCAAGAAAATCATTTATCTAAACCCTAACAGAACAAAAAAAAAAAAACACTGAATGGTTGAGCTATTTGGTTTAAATCTATCAAATTCTCAAAGATATTTCTTTGCTATCAAGAACGAACAAAAGCAAATGTTACAAAAGTGACCTTTTTTTATTCTTGGAACTCCAGTAATGTTAAAAGAAATGAAATAAAGGTGACTAAAATATAACTATACAGTTAGAATTAAACCTTACATTTCATGCCTTCTCTCGCTGATCGAAAAAGTTATTCATACTGAAAAGTATGACTAATGCCCTTTTTATTCATATTTATTTTATTCATAGTGTTTAAATTCATCCAAGTACTAAATGAGATTAAAAACATAAAATCCATACAAATAACATAAAATCCATATGATTTTTTTTATTTTTTTTTTTACATCACATCTTGTGCAGAACTCTATTATTTCACCTTGACAGAAAGTCTATCCAAATATCCTTTCATTATCAGTTACACAAACTGGGGTTGCCTGGTGTAAGTTAGGTGACTGCAAAGATTGTTAAGTATTGCGAAGTTCCCATTAATTAACTCACATTTACCATAATCACAAAGGCTCCTGCACTCACCATGACTTTTAGCATCTAAACCACTATCATCTAAATCGGTTGTAGAGAGTCCATATAACTGGTCAAATGTATTTACATCTAGACAGTAATAGTTTTTAGAGCTCTTTAAATACAACGGCAGACAAAATGCTGTTTCCAAACAGTTCTTTGCCATTTATATACTGCATTCATTGATATTACAGTGATAAATGGACACTAATGTACAGACACTGACCACTTTTTAAGACGCACATTGCTAGTGGTAGGACCAACTTATTATATTATTAATGGCATAGATAAACAAGGTTTTAGATACTATATTTTTACTGTTGGATTTAAATCTGGTGACTGTGGAGGCAACATAAGGGATCAACTCAGAACGTTTAAGAAAAAAGCTTAAAATTATCAAAAGGTTTCAATGAAAACTGCATGTTGGATTTGACCAACATGCAATTTTCAATTATCATTCAGTAGACTGGGCCTGCACCTGCCGTAGCCCCAGCTTTCCTATCTTTTCTGATGACACCTGGTGTGGTCCTCTGCAGCTGTTAATCTCCTTCAAGTTTTGATGCACCGTGTGTTACGAGGAAGTGATGTACATACCTTATATTTTACTGTTGCCTTCCTATCATCAAAAACTGGACCCTTCTCCTCTGACATCAGAACTACAATTTTGTTCACACAACAGCTGCATACCACATATTCCTATGGCTGCATGCGGAGATCCCATAAATCACTTTCTGTAATGCTCAGAATAGCACATCTGTCATCAAAAACCGTTGGTTTAAAATCACTTTAAAGCTTTGAGCAAGCTTCTCTCACCATGTCTACATACCCAGATACATGTATTGCTGCCATATAATGGGTCGATTACAAACACTTGAAGAAGTGAACCTTAATAAGTAGCAATACATTTAGTGACGGTCTTTATTACAGACTGAATTACTGAGCCATCCTTGTAATAGACTTAAGCATGGATTTCTCTGATAACAGCTTTTATTTTTCTAGATTAGTTGATCTATAGCAGGAGTTTTAAAACACAGCCTTTTTCTGTTCCCTGGAATGTTTTTGAGCAGCACTTTACTGAATTAAAGAGTGGTATATATTTAACTGACTCGCACAGTTAACTTAAGAAATTAAACAAGACTCTTTCAAGACTCATGGACCTATCCTGATATTGTTGAGAAAAAAGTAAACAAAAACTGTAGCTATATTTTTTTTAATTATATGCCTCTTTTTTATTGAGAAAAATTATGAGGGCATTTTTAAATATAAGGATCCAACACAACTTATACGTACTTCTTAACCATAGCTGTATATAAACTGTAACTCTTTCATCTGCTATTATCTGTCATTATATATCTTGTATTATAACCCCACTAATACATATATATTATCCATATCCTAACCTTCCTGTATAATCTGTATATAGTTTTTCATATTTATTTATTTTACAGCCTCTTATAATTTTGTCTCTGTTTATATATTCCATTTATAGTCAATACATATATTGTGTCTGTGCACATGTAAATAAATATTCATATCCCATATAGTATTTCTGGATAGATGCAAACTACATTTCGTTTCTTTGTACTTGTGACAGTGTAATGACCATAAAGTTTAAATCTATTCTATCTGTTTTATATTTTGGATATAACATAAATAACCATTTTTTTGTATTAATATATAATGGGTTTAGTTTGCTGTTGAATGTGTTAAAGAGAAAAAAGTAGCAACGAATATGCATATTTTTCTTTATTCCATTTTTTCAAATCCATTTCTACCTCAAAATTAGCAATTTTGCCCCTTAGTAAAAAGTTTTGGACACCACTGATCAACATGATATGAATAAATAACATATTCAAATGTCTGAGCCTTTGTTCCAGTGTTACATTTGCAAATGGATACTTATAGCCATGTTCTGGGGCTGACACATTGAACAGAAATAATTATATTAGACTTTTAATGAGATAATTAGGGCAGATCTATTCACTCTTAAAGCAACTTAATAAATGTGTAGAGTTTCAAGTTAACCGTACATTTTACTACAAGAAGAAGCTAGACTCCGCTTCTCTAATCTAAAAGACCAAATTCTGAACCAATGACATTGTTGCTATGAGCCAGCAGACCTGAACATAGTTCAACCATGCAGCCCTCAGCTTGAAAGTGTTAGGACAAAATGTTTATATTAGTTATAACTGTTTCCATGGGCGTAGGTTTGCATAGGGACCATAGGGACATGTCCCTACCAAAATTTAGGACGGACCTATTTGTCCCTACCAATAATTGGATGTAAACAACATGTTTATAATTTACTATACAGCAGCCGCTTCTTTTCCTCTCGCAGCTTCTCTGCCTGGTAGCTGCAGCTCCCTGCTCTTTCCTGTCCCTTTCACATAGCAGCGCATCAACTGTGCTGCGCGGTTTAACTCTCTGATTATTCTGCCTTAAGTTCCGCCTTCTCTCTTTCTGATTGCGTGTTTTCTAGACTGTATGTGCGCGTGCGCGGGTGCTTGGAGCGCGAAAAAAAAAAGACGCTAAAATAAATGAATATTGGGCTACGAAACTAGTCCAAATTAAAAACTATATTATCTACGATAAAACAGGCAAAAGCTTCTGATTGGAGTTCTGTAAAGAAGCAGGAGAGAGTTTTTTGATTTGACGAAACAGAAACGTTTAAAAGTTTCCTTTGGAGGAGTTCTGGATGGAGAATATTGACAGACAAAAACTTTTTTTTTTTACTTCTTAAATGCAAAATGTTTACATATTTTTTTACAATCTTGGTATAATTCCTGCTCTAAGTGGGTCGCTCTGTCGGCTAAAGGCACATTTTAGTGGCCCTATACTCCAGTTAACGATTAATCAATTACATAGTTCACGATTATTTAAATAATTTGTTAATATGATTAATTGTTTCAGCCATAGATAAAATACATGAAATTAGCTACACAGAGTAACTACAGCCCAGATGTACAACTTCTAATATTAATATTTTAAATGCTCAGTGTCAGTTCCTCTTATAGTTCCAGTGCACATGTAAATACAATACATTTATTTGCTGTCCCTTGAATGTATTATTTTGCATGATCCAGAGAGAGCATATTAGTTAAAAAAAAATAAGAGTCGGTTTTACCTCTGCACAATTCTATATCTTCAGAAGAAAACACAGGATAAATCCACATATTATAGACTATGTTTGGTTAAACAGACATTGTCTTAGTCGCAGGTAAATTTAAATGCAATCCTTTTCAAAGTGGAACAAGTCCTAATTCCACATTCATCAGAGCCAGTGATGCTTTAAATATTGATAAACAGCATCTAGTGCATGTAGTGCTTATAAGATTTGTATTAATGTAGCAAGAAATGCTGCTGTTCTCTTTAAACAAAATGAGCCTTGAAGCTCACATTAAGCATAAAAAAGAGCATGCATATTTTTGCAAAGGACCAATGAAACTGAAGAATAGTGTCCCTACCAAAGTTGAAATCAAACCTACGCCCTTGACTGTTTCTAATTATATGAAAAGCAAAATAAAATCAATCCTGTGTTTGTGACTTTTTTAATGAATAATCTATTTATATAAATTAAATACTTTAGTCATTTTATCATACAGTCTTTTAAAATAGGACCACTTATACTGACTCTCATCAGTATGTAAGATGACAGCATTTTCTCAGCAGCCAATGTCTCCTAAGCCCTGTCTCACTTACTCTATGAAGTAGACCATGCCAGTCTCGGTGTAAGCCATCTCCCAGTTGTAAGGCAGGGGCTCCAGGCTGTCATCGCGGGGAAGAGAGCTCCATGTACGGAAGTCCATGGTGCTGCTGGACTGAGTGTAGCTGGGCACTGTTTTCCTCCAGTCTTTGTGCTCTAGAGAGAATGGATGGACATGTTAGAAAAAGGGATAAAAATAGAAAAAGGCAGTTAGAGGATATACCTCCAAAGTACAGGCAAGCTACGTTATAACACCTGCTACAGGGTCAGTAAAGGAAGAAGATATTCTGCTGATTGAATTTGCATGGAAGTGATGATGTAGGTGTGTGAGTAGGTCTGCCAAAGGGTTGTTTTGCATTTCCTACTGAGAAACTACACTATAAAGAAAATGAAACAAGCAACAAAGACACAGCTAATTCACTTAGCACTAAATCCTTTGTCTCAGGAGATGGTTATAAAAGATGAAAGACAAGAGCTTTTCTGCCTTTCCTTTTTAACCTCCCAACAATAGCAAATAATGTTGAAAGATTTAACGTCCAACACACACACACCTCAAACAGTTCTACAGCATTAGTTTTTGCAAAATAAATTATTTCTCCTCAATCCTAAGATTATTTTTAAAACTCTCAACACGCTGTTTTTCAGCTGCATTCTGGTAATACGCCACTTTTTTGAACGGCCTTCTTTTCCCTCTTAAGATCAAAAGCACACCCTCTTGCTTCATCTTTACAGAGACAAAATGCGCATGGCATGTTTGAAGATGCACGCTTGTCATGTAGACACTTTGAAAAGCAGCCTGAGGGAACGGCCCAAAGGAAAGCTGAGTTCATCAGCAAGGTTCAAAGCAGGGTGAGGGCCCACTTGACAGTAGGACTGTAGTTGATAACGACAATTTGAGCTCTGATGAGGAGTTTAGAGACAGAGAGCTCACATTTTCCATTAACCCTCTTTCTTTTTATTCCACCATGCTTGTTCTGTCCATCTATGGTTGGTCTGGGACCGCTCTGCAGCTTCCCCTCAGCAAAGCAGTCATTTGTAACTAGTCTCCTTCCATAAAAAGAACTCCTGGATCATTTAGTGTTTGATTTCAATATGATGGAGCCGTTGGGTAAACAGACATTGGATCCCTGTGAATCCTTTGTGCAGCTGAGCAAGTAGCGCTTGAGCCTTGTCTGTCAAAACAATGTTTCATTCAGGAGAAATTATTTCAGCTTGGACTTGCTTCACTGTTAACCCCCATTCTCCTGCTAAAAAAAGGCTAGGTATGTTGCAAAGCATGTAACCTACTTCTGTCATAGAGGTTTTCTCCTTGAAAGCTTTAAGGGGATATTTACTCCTCAGAGAGACGAGAAGCTGAGCTGATTGAACTCTAAGACTCTGTCAAGGTGACCTGTAAAAAAGCTGCCTGGACACAGTAGCAGTTTTATTCCGTTTGGAGATGCACCAATTATATGTTTTTGGCGAATACTGATTTAAGCCAAGGCTGTTCAGTGGTGAAGTGGGTAGCCCTGCTGCCTTGCAGCAATAAGTTTAGGGGTTCAATTCCATTCTGGGGTCTTTCTGCATGGAGTTTGCATGTTCTCCCTGAGCATACGTGAGTTCTCTCCGGGTACTCCGGCTTCCTCCCACAGGCCAAAAACATGACTCTTGGGTTAATTGACTTTCCTAAATTCTCCTTAGGTGTGAGTGTGTGTGTGAATAGTCGTCTGTCCTGTTTGTCTCTGTGTTACACTGCGATGGACTGATGACTTGTCCAGGGTGTACCCTGCCTCTTGTCTGTAGACAGCTGGAGATAGGCACCATCGCGACTCCATTTTGCATAAGCGTGTAAAAAATGTGTTGGATTTAAGCTAGTGATTTTAATTCTATGATTTTTTAAAGGAGTAATATTGACAAAAGCAGAAAAAAAATGCTCCAGGTTTTTTTTATAGAGGTAGTATTCACGAATTAAACAGAAGTTCAACCAATCTATATCAACTGCTCTTTTGTATTTGACTCCATATAACAGGAAATGTTGCTGTGAAACCATCCTGGATAGAAATATTAGCTATGCTGCTGCCATCATCATCTTTGTTTATAGATGTTGTAGCTTGGCATATTTTTTTATTGTAGTCCTGTTTCTCTGACTGTAACTAACTGTTTGTGCTCTCTTTCATCCTCTGACATGGGAGCTGGCTCGGAGCACCTTTGCCCAACTGTGTCTTTATTGGACAGGGCCACCTGTGGAGCTGGTTAACAGCAATCTTTTCTATCTTGGCTTCTTTCTGTATTTCTGCCTTTGTCTCCCCGAACACCAGTCAGCCTCGGCAGAAGGCAGCTCTTACTTAGGCAGGTTTTTCATCCTGTTAAAAGGGAGTTTTCCTCTCCACTGTCATTACATGCATGAGAGGGATTGGTGAAGAGTCAATAAGTCGATGCAATCAGCTGGTTTTCCTTAGATAGAAACCTTTGAATCATCTGACTGTATGATCTGGTTGAAAACATAGTTCATAACAGAAAAAAAGGCTTAAGAAGACCATCACAACAGGTGAACAATAGCAGAAAGATTGCTGTTTAAGAAAAACAGTCTGTGGTTGAAATTGACTGACCGGGCAATCCATTGACCAGCGGGGGCCTCTCATCATCATCCTCCTCCTCAGGTACGGCGCTATCCTTCCTATCCATCTTACTGACTGAGGTGGTCCGCTTCCTGGGGACTTCACTGTGGAAATCCTCATCAAACAGCACCTGATCCACCAGGTCGGGCTGCACCAGATTGGGCTCTGCAGGCGGCTTTGGGGTCCCATAGTAGTTACCTTTGAGAAAAAAAAAGCATGATGGAAAAAAAACATGATCGATGGTGCAACCATGAATACGGAAAGATGGGTTCAAATGAACAATTAAAAAGGGTCTATAAATATATTGTATTTACTGTATATATATATATATATATATATATATATATATATATATATATATATATATATATATATATATATATATATATATATATATATATATATATATATATATATATATATATATATATAGCTTACTGATCTGACATTGATCAAATAAACCAATTATATTGCATTATACAGCCAAGTTCAATGTTTTGGGACTCCCTCCTCTGCATGATTTTCACGTCTCTTAACCTTCTGCCTTGTTTTCCCTCGATAACTGCACCACAGGGCTGTCATGACTCATATAACATTAAAATCACTTCACTTAAAATTCTCCAGCAACTAATTACACTGATCATTGAATACAGCAATTATCTATCTTTCTGTTTTTTCCTTAATGAAGAAGGACCTTGTGTATGATGAGTATAAATATTCAAAGAGAGCACAGCCCGCTGAAAAAGAAAGGGATGGAGTGCAAAACTTTGTTAAATTATTTTCTCATTTAACTCATGGGGTGATCCATCTATCTATGGGCTGGTGAGCAGTATGCAGAATGCAATTTGGGCACAGAATAAGTAATTATTGCACCTCCATTAGGACTATAAATAATGTGCCTACTAATTTATATGCCCACCATTTATTATGATTATTTGCTTTGTAAATGTTGCTCTGTCAGATGTGTTTACACTAAAACCACCAGATTATTTTCTGGCAATCCATTTGCGAGATAAAATATTTACATAGTTCATACAATAAGTGATCTCAGCTAAAACAAGAAATGTAATTGGATTAATTAAAGTATGTAGAGTAATACCATAGGGAAATATGAATCTCTGGCAGTTTAATTAGCTCCCATAATTTTGATCATACTTCAATTTAGTCCCAGTTGTTAATGGAACGATGATATTATGTGCTTTTGATGTACTTAAGCGTTAACACACTATCAAAACAAAATGCATTTTTTTTCTTGGAAGCAGCATTTATTAGATCTAGATCTTTTTTATGGCATGGAGGGGAAGAATAAGAAAATAAAGCCATGGTGTGCAAAGAACTGTGGAGAACATCACAGTCATTCCAATGGCTTTACAGCACTAACCCTGACACTTAAACAGCTTTTCTGAAAATTGAGCTCATCTTGAAGCCGGCCTCATTTCTAAAAGCATGCTAACAACAACACCCAGCGTACAAGGGTAATGCAACGACAGCAGATCTCCCTCAAAGCGGCAAGAAGATTGAGGAGGAGAGAAAGGCTGGATGAAAGCCGGCCCCTCCCTATTTGACATGCAACTCTGTGTTTACCAAATGACACTCATCCGCATTTGTCAAAGATGGCTTCATTAACAGGAGTTGCATAATGATAGCAGGGAGAGATTTGGGTGTGCTGCCTAATCCCTGACTGCCTCCTGCTGCAGAATGACATTTATCAGCCAGACGCTACCTCTGTGATTAATTACTTACAAACATGTGTCTTGGCCCCTGATGAATGTGTGCCGTACATATAGAAGCGTGTGAAAGCAGTGTGTCAGTGAAGATGTGTGGCACCATTTGCCATTACAACCGCCGTGAAGCCTCATACACAGATGAGCCTGGGAAGCTTGTCCTGCGGTACGTGTGAACCTCATATCAGAGGGTTGATGAGCCAGGGTAGAGTGAGCCGACTCTTTCAAAGGGTGTGCAAGCCATTTTATGGTGGTGGGCTCAACTACAGAAAATGAAAAGATTCCTCTTGCCAATGTCACTCTACAGGCTAAACAAGGTCATGTGCTCCTTCATCCTGCTACAGCCACTCAGAGCAGACAAACACAGGGAAGGAGACGTTGGGACTTGAAGCTCCATTCATATTCTAATCAAATTTAGTCTCATTCTCCCTTTTTTTCCTTATAAAATGGCAAGAAAATTTCATCATGGGGGCTCCAGAAGTGTTTGATTGAATTTTTGTATTTCTAGGCAACAAAATAGAGATTATTGGTGAAAGGAACTTTCTCTGTCTTATCAATATCATCTTTTGGTCCATGGACATGTTAGAAAAATCAGGTACACAGCAACACTGAGATGGAGAACAGACCAAAACATCTAGAAAAGCCCAATATGAGTGCCAAATTTTCCATGTTATTAACTGCTGCTCGTTTGACATCTTGCCAGTAGTTTGTGTGGAAAACAGCGACGGGCTAGGTTCACCAGGACCTCAAATACGATAAGCCTCTCTGTGCTTGCCTGTTGTCTAAACAGGGTTGACTTTTAATGAGCGAATCATGATGAAGTATTTATGGCAACGCTGTGTATATTTAACCCAAGTATAATCTGAATTAGAGATATATGAAATTATCTTTTAGGTCGGTATACAACACTTTTTTTTGCTTTTCAGTTGGCTGCTCTTCTCAAAAATAATCATATGTATCTTGATTTGGTCAAGAGTGCCAATTTAAAGCAAATCAAGTTTCCCTTAAACACAACACCTAAATAAGCTAGAAGTTGTTGCTGGCCAACAAAGCAGATATGATATTTAACTCATAAGATATATCTTTGGTTCTGTAGTTAAGATTTTAATCTAGAGAGATGAATGTGGCTTTGTCTTTACTACGACTTCTCAATCTGCTTGTCTACGGTGTTTGAGTTTGCATTAGTGCAGTGTCAGCCTTTAGGGGTGCTAAACCTGGAATATGCTGGTGAAGATTCTCAGTCATCCAGGTCACAGTCATTCCAAAAAAAAGAAAATGAAAAACAATCCACTGGACTTTGTTTCCAAGTTTGAAGACATTTCGCTTCCCATCCAGGAAGCTTTCTCAATTCAAAATATCAAGAATAGCGTTGTGTTCGAGGTTTCATACAGTAACCCAACAAAGCCTTGTTTTTGTTTAGAAAAAATGCTAATTGAAACAGTCGAAACAGTGTTGCTTTAATGCAGAAAGCCCAATAATGGCATTTGCATGCCTGGGTCCACCAGATCCTCCAGAGATTCAAGTCCAGGAGCCACTGTTGAATCACGATTATTTCCTGTGGTACTTCTGTCTGAAAAGGGCCCAAAACTATTATCCGTCTTTGGGGATGGATCACCCAGACAACAGATGTAGACAAGGTACTCTGACAGGTAGAGCAAAAGCCCTGACACAGGTGTCAGGCCAGGACCAGCTTTGAAACTACAAGAGGAGGACAAATGAAGATTAATTTAACAGTCTTTGTAAAGGGCTAAATCAAAACAGATTGTTAAAAAGAAACCAGCCTCTACAGAGCATTCATAACTTCATCCAATGTTAACATTTCTCAAATTTCCATTTTGATTGAAAAAAGCTTTGTCTTCACTGCGCTCCTTCATCCTACCCCACAACCATATCCAGTCCTTATTTGTTTGATGCAACATAAATTGACAGCGGATTTCACATCACGTCCACCCTGGGTTTCGCTTCACATTGCTTCACTCCTGAATACGCCTCTAGATAGTGACAACATGCAACTCACTCAATCCAATTGCCATTTTGAACATTCTGTATGGATGCATCTTTAGAAAGTATTTGACCCTTTGGCCGAAACAAGCATATACGAAAAAACCAAGTATATTCTTTATCAAGATCAGCATGGAAATCCAAAGAGCTTCTCTGAATAGGCACGCAAAGTTGTATGGGCTGGATGGTATGAAGAAAAAATGACATGTTGATTTTATCAATGAACATTTTGAATAGGAATTTTCCTCTTGCCTCTGTCTTTCATTAAATTATTAAGATCATTACCAAGCACAGGTGTAAGTCACAATATGGGGCAAAATGTAGCGCTTGGCAGAGGTCTGCGATTCTTCTAGTTTACACTAAAATTATTTAAAATGACACAAATTAATTTTGACAGCCCACCAAGAATTGAATCTAATCAGTCCTTTGTTGTTGCCAAATTATTACTCACACTGATTTGCAATGACCATTGTGGTTTAATACATTTTGCAGCCCAAGTTGTATGCCTGACCGTTACTTCAAATAAAAGATGAATAGGACCATTTATTACAGATTCATTGACCACGGTAGGTGAAAAAAAAATCTACAAAATTACTGCAATAAAATTTTTTTCAAGTGAAGAAAAAATGCAGGATCTATTAGCATAATAAGCATTCAGGCAACTCATTTGGGACTATTAGTGAAAGCATTATGATTAGTTAAGCATCCCATTAGCTCAGTACCTTGAGCACAGCTCACTTACTGTACACTAATAAACTGAAGGTAATTCATGAGCTCTTCAATGAAGAACTGAAACCCATGTGAGCCATAAAAGGGGACAAATGACCTTGTTTGTTCTTTCCTTTTCACAGAAAAATAGGCTGCACTTCAAGCCCTACCAAATTAAATAAGTACCATTCTGTGGTTCGATTACTTCCAACTCCTCGCTTGGTTCCCTGTGCAGCTGGAAGATCAACCACAAAAGCCATTCAGTGCCTTCTGCTGACTGGGCTTAAGCGGAGTAGCGACTGCTATCAGAGTATTCCCTATGGAATAGTGTACCAAAACCTCCCAACTTTGAAAAGCTAATCCACACGCCTGCACTGAGCCAGCCGGTCCTGCTTACACTGCAAAGAGTGTGTTCAATGGGAGCTGAGAAGCTCAGTATGCTTTTATATCAACTACTGTATTATTGTCATCTGCTTACTCTTGATTTATCTTCCTCTGCCGAAGGTCAACATTTTAAACCCAGACTGGCTCTGGTTAAAGAGGACTTGCATCCTCTTGGTAGTTTGTCAATTCCTGAAATATTTTCCTTTTAGCAGAAAAAGAGATTTCTGATAAAGATTATGTGGGATTGTGTAAATTACAAGTGTCTATAGGAAAAAGGTTTTGGATTGAAAATTACATTTTATGAAATACTTTTAGTAGATTTCATCCCAACATCTTACAGTTGTATCTCAGGTTTCGATAAACTAACAGAGATTACACAGT